ATTTGCAGGCTCGTTGTGGGCTGGTCCTCTCTTCTCACCCATTTTACTGTTTCTTCCCAGGCTGCAGTTGTATTCCACACCCAGGGACCCTTATGGGGACAGTGAGAAAACTCGGGGTGCTTCTGGATACATCTTCCCCAGGGCGTGAAGTATGCAAATGGATGACTGTTGCATTTATGTTTAGGGCTGAACGTATACACACACGTCATGGGATGTGGGGATGGCAGCCAACTTTGTTTCATTCTGCTCTGCTTAAGGAGATATCCATATTCTTTTTTAAGTTATGCTTTTATTGTGGTAAAATATACATTAAAATTCTACCATTTTAACCAATTTAAGTGTACAATTCAGTGGCATTAAATACATACGCGGCATTGTACAAGCAACACTGTTATCCATTTCCAGAACTTATTCATTACTGCAAACAGAAACTCTGTACCCGTTAAAAGATAGCTCTTCATTCCCCCCTTCCCTTTGAGCCCCTGTAACCTCTAATTTATTTTCTGCATCTTCGAATTTGTCTATTGTAGATGTTTCACGTAAGTGGAATCGTACAGTATTTGTCCTTTGGTGACCGGTTTATTTCACTTAGCGTCATGTCCTCAAGGTTCATCCATGTTGTAGCACGAATCAGAACTTTATTTCTTTTTAGGGCTGAATAATATTCTGTTGTGTGTATATACCACCTTTGGTTTCTCCATTCATCTGTTGCTGGATACTTGGGATTTGTTTCTACCTTTTGGTTATTGTCAGTAATGCTGCTGTGAGCAATTGTGTAGTAGTCTTTTTGAGTCCCTGTTTTCCATTCGTCCAGGTATATACCTAGGAGTGAAATTTCCAGTATTCTTTTAAATCATTGCTCTTAGGTGGTTTGTAAGTGAATGTTAAGTTTTCTGGTGTCTTGACCATCTTCAACTCTCTAATATGTATAAAGTCAAGTTTAAAAATAATTTAAAAACCACACTCATTGTAGAAAACCCGTGGAGAGAAAAAAAATTCATAATCTGATCCCATAGAGATAATCACTACAACAGTTTTGGGTTATTTCCTTTCAATTTCCTTTTGCATATCAAGAGTCATCTATACCTGTATGTGAAATATTTTGAAAGAGGCCTCTTGTCAGATGTGTTTGCAGGACATAATGTAACTTTCTGTTCACTTCGTCACTCCATGCTTCCTCCGCCTCACTGCCCTCCCCAATCCCAATCAACCCCGATCAAAGAGAGTGGTGGGGGTGGGCAGGGGTGGGAGTTGGGGGAGTGCCTGCCAGGATTATCTCCAATATCACTGCCAGTTCCTCTCCCTGCTAAACTATGTGCTTTCTTGTTGCAGCTATCAGAAGGGCTGACTAAAGGGGAAATGCAGCTCTGCAGCAATATTCTGATAATCTATTGCAGTGCAGCTCACATCACTGTCTATCACCACCCGGGAACGCTCATCAGGACCGAAGAGGAGTTTTCACTTTCATTACTGAGCACAATTCTGTTCAACTTGGTATTTCCTTCATCGTCTCATGTCCTTTCTCATGGATTCAGACATGTTGGAAAGGAGAATGCAGAGGAGGAAAACATGGCAGGTCCTCCATTTTTTTGGTCGGGATTTGGGCATTTAAAGTGTGTTCATCTCCTCTGAATGTCATTATTTGATAACATTTTACTTATGTTACTTAAACATCACTGGATAAATTTGAACTTCATGGGATTTTAACTGTGGATTCAGCTTCTGTTGGACAGCTAGCTTCATCTCCCGTTTTTCTGCTGGTTCAGTCTAAGTGGTCATACCTAATGCATTAGATTATCAAAAAGTGTAAATTCGGTGAGTGAGTGGTGTTGGCAGTGTTTGTATACCAAGATGCATGGAGCGTTTGACAAAGAAACCAAAACACCAAAAGTGGTGAGCCTTTACCCTCCTCTATTTCTTTAATCTGCTGTTTGAAGAACCACATTTTGATGGTGGAACCAGTAGTTACCTCTGGGCCAGGTTGGAAATGAAATCAATTTTTTAAACCACTAGTACTTGCCAAGAAATCGCCTTATGAGAACATGGTGTGTGTCTCTGACAACGCATGGTGCATCTAAGTTGATCACTCATAGTTTTATCTACCCTGTTTTTGTACTGGGGAGTGGCCAGAGCCTGAGACACCTGCATATTTCTCTTCCATGTGTTTCCTGCATCCCCCGTGGCTGGGATGCGACTGAGCCTCAGACTCTTACCATTCCTGTACATGCAGGTCTCCACGAAGAAGCTGGGACTCGTTCACATTCAAGATCCAAACGCTGTGCAAACAGCGTGAGCTTAGATCTTCTGTAAACGAAGGGTCATTTCTCATTTTTTTAAAAATGTCTCCAACATGGATTCCAAAACATTTTCAGCATCAAACATGAAAACATTGATGAATGAGGAATAATCACAAAAGCAGTGTATCTGTATATAGCTCTACACAACATGTTTGTGGTACAGAGTCATTACTTAAAGCACATGCCAGGGCAAGAGACCAAATTTTGAGGTCTTTTACATACAGTGACATGGTACTAAGGAGAATTAAACTCCTGCTTCCTCTGAAGATTCAGAACAACTTAACGTTGTTATAACTTCATAAAACTCATGACCAAGTCTGGCAAACATGTGCAACTCTTGTACTGATCCATTTTCTTGTCATTGGAAGAAACACTTCCACAGGTATGCAAGTGGGGGATGAAAATCTGCATTTTTAAAGGACAAACAGTGAATTTAAGCATGAGTGGCCTTAATAAATATAGTTGTCTTTCTTTGCTGCTGTGGAAAGGATTCTAAGCAGACGTTCCTGAAGTCTTGCATTGAATTTAGTCGTTATTCTTACTTTTTAAAATGTCGGTGCAATTAACTCTGGACCTCTCGCGTGAGCCATAGAGATAGTTAAAAGTCAGACACCTTATTTATCTATCGGGGAAGACGAAACCGTGTCTGGGCTGCACTGTTCATCCTTGGTGCGTTAGGGGTAATATATTCGAGCAGGTTTCTTGCTTCTGGCTTTGTTCTTGTCGTAAGTATTGCAAACTGTGTAAAGCTTTTGTGTTGCATAAGCGATCCAATACATTCATGTTTAAAAAGTTTGTCCTTTAACTATCAAAGGGATCTAGGTCTTGACTGGAGAAATGAGCAGAGTTCTTTGCAGACGTATTTCGCACACTCTGACATGATGTTGCACTGAAAACCCAGGCCTGCAACGTGTCCCCGTGAACGGTTTGGGTGTCCTCAAATAGGTGGCCGCACTGCCTCCTGCAACCAGGTCCTGATCTGAACCCTGCCACTGAATACTTGAAGTAGGAAGTAGGAAATCCACTAGGGAACAGAGGGTCCTAGAAACAGAAAAATCAACCAACCGTGTATAGTTAGCTATTTCCAAGTATGTGCCAATTTTGTCACACCTATTGTTTGGGGGGTTCATTTTTGCCCCACTTATGTTTAAAGTCGTCCCGATCTTACTTTTACGGGGGCATTATCATTTAGTCCCTTAAAAATTGAATTCTGTCTAACATAGCATCTTTTCATTATATATCATGTAGTATTCTCTGAGATTGGGGGTTTAGCAAAAAAAATTCCCTTTTCACGTATTAAAAATAGTTTGTGTTTACAACAAACACTGTGTTATTGGGAAGACATTTCCTTTGCACAGACTTTAGCAGGTTTCCCCCTTAATCATAACGAAATTGAAAAAGCTTATACTTTATACCCCGTTTGATTTCGATGTACTGTCTCTATTTTGTATTTAATGATTTTTGTGTATCCAGTATGCACGTTAACAGCGTGTCAACTTTCATTTGAAAGTGGGTTTCCATTTACTTTTTAAACAGTGTTTATGACGAGACCTCAAATGTGTTGACATAAGCTCTACTGAGATGTTTTTGTGTCGAGTGGCGTTTGAATGCTGCCAGGGGTCAGTGTATCTAGTTCCCAGCGACCCTCGTTTGATAGTGCTTCTTGTAATATTTCTCCAAGTGAGTGGCATGTGGGTTGTGATATTGACCATGTGATTATGGACTTCGATATAAAAAATAAATAAATAAAACTAAGGAACCCTCAGAAACTACCCGTGGGCATGTAGTAGCCAGTCATTGTAACCTCGTGTCTAGTAGAAGTACAACGTACAAGGTATGTACAGTTCATAAATTTGTTATCACGTGTATGAGAAGTACTTTGTGCTGATCGCCTTATTTATAGTCATCAAATAAACTTTGTTTCTTTCTGAAGCGAGTTCATTCCATCTTGAATAAATGCTCCAACTGTGGTGGTTTCTAATCTTGTTTGGGTCATGGATCCCCCTTTGAAGAAGCTATGGACTTGAAGACAAAAGGAAGCAAAAGGGAAGTTATGGACTCACTTTACTGGAAGAGCCAAGGTGTAAATTTCCCTCTATGCATAGCTGGATCTGAGGGCTCATACTGTGTTAAGTAATTAAGTCACTGGTGGCGTCCCCTTCCTCCTTCCCTCCCTCTTTCCCTTCCGTTTTTGTCTTTCTCTCTCTCTCAGTTCCAGCCTCGTTCTCGATCTCTCTTGATCCCTCCCTCTCTTCCTCCTTCCCACCTTTTCTCACTTCCCTTTCTTCCCCTCTCCTCCTCCCTTCCTCTTTTCCTCCTTGTTTCTTCTGCACGTTCCATGAGGTTGACATCAGTCCTGCTGCTTCTCTCCACTTGGTGGCAAAGATGACTCCCAACAGCTTTGAGTATTCTTGGATTTTAGAAGAGAGACACCCCTCTCTTCCAGCATCCATAACAGCCCTCTAGAGGGACTCTTACTGGTCCTTTTTGGATCATACATCCAGCCTTACTGGATATGGGAGATGTAGTTTCCAAAGGAAAAAAAAAAAGGGCTGTAGTCTAGAAGAAAGACACTGAAAGCCGAGGAGGCTATAACAATAGCCCTGCCATCCCTTGGATACATGCACAAAATCATCCAGAAAAATACACAGACAGGACTGTCCGTGCAAGGGCTCACCAGCCTTTGCAGCTCACCTGTGGATCGCAGTGGAGAATCAGCTCCTGGTTTCGTTAAAAGTTTGAATCATATTCGAGGAAACAAATTATCAATTCTTACCATTATTGCAGTTAAACAGTAATTGATTTATATTGCTAGAAGGTATATGTCATGTAACCTGATATCTTCATTTTACAGATGGGGAAACTGAGGCCCAGCCGGAAGCAACTGATCCAGGCGTAGACAGTAAGTTCACTGCAATCCAAGGCTGTCCCTAGAACTTCCGAAACAGGAATATGTGTCCCTGAAGGCTCTCTGGGGAGGAGAGGATGAGACAGACTCTCTTCCTCCCAGTTGGCCCTTGATGACACAGGGGAAATATCATTTCATTTCTATACTTTATGGACTCAAAGCCACTGGGTGTGAAATTCTCTCACAGTCAGACACATTTGGGGGCAACCTGCAAAGTCATTTGCCCTTTTCATGATGTGCCTTTTTATGGAAAAAGAACTTCTGTTGGACAAGAATTTCTTACCTCATGGAACTTCCTGAAGCAGCCGGCTTGCGTTCAAGCCTGGTTATATGAGCCCAGCTGACCAGATGGAGCCTCTGCGCCTATGTGCACAGAAGCAGTCCTTCTGGAAGGAAGAGTACCAGCTCACAAACTGCCGCCCTCAGCTGCAGGTCCACCCATACCTTTAGTTCCACTGAAGCATATAGACAAGCCTAATGTTTGACCTTGAAAGTCCACCCTGACTGCTTCTTGTGTCTGTGAACTGCTGTTACAAACGATTGGAGAGACATTCTAATTCTTGGCGTCACTAATTCATGAGAGTAATCACACTAATAATAAGTAAACACAGATAAAAGTAATTGAACATTATGGAGTGTTTGCTAGGAGCCAGACCATGGCACCAGGGACCCGTGGGCACCACTCCTTTATTCCTGACGGCAGTCGCATGAGGTGGGTACCGTCGTGATCCACATTTCACAGCGAGGGGAATGGAGGCCCGCAGAGGTGACCAGAAACGGTGCACATTGATCGAGCACACGTACTTGGGGGAGCGTTGTGCTAAATGCTGTACTTACATGAATTCACCGGTCCTGACAGGAATCCCATGAGGTAGGTACTGTCCTCGTGTATTAGGGTATTATTATCATCCTCACTTTACAGACAAGGAGAAAGAGGCCAGAGAGCTTACACACCCCACCCAGCGTCGCCCAGATGGTACGTGGTGGAGCCAGGCTTCGCACCCAGTGCTCAGCAAGCCCTCTGCTTCAGGCCCCGGGTCAGGCGGGTGGAGCATATGGGGCTGAAATTCAGATCCTGCCGGTACCCACCCAGCAGTGCTTCCATATCGCAAGTTTGGTCTCCACCACGGCTATCCAGCTCACAGAGGCTTGGAGGAATTGTTTGCTTCATCAGCGCCACTGCTGGCCCATGTGATGGGAGAAGGGCAGTGGGGCCCAAAGGAAGTCCAGCCACGTGTGAAAGGAGAGCTGAGACAACGCTCAGCCTGTTGCATTTTAACCTGCTAGCCATGGGCCTCTCTTGTTTCTTCTAAGCTCTCATTGTCCGGGCATCGGCATCTGATTTTCTAGGCATCTTTGGGTTTGCAAGGTGGAGCATCTGGTGACAGGAGACTGGACAGGTGTCCTCAGGTGGGAGAGGACCCTGAGCTCCAGGCTAAGGGGTGTAGACCTAATCCTGTTGGCCTTTGGTTCTCAACTCCAGTTATTTGCATACTGCTTGCCAGATTCTTACTATGTCTTAAGACAATATGTAGTCGAGTTAAGTACCTTATAAAATTAAATAGGCTTACTGTTTTATTTAAATGAATATACTTTAAGAAAAAAATGCCACCATCATAGATGAGTAAGTGGGATAATTTTCCATACGTAGCCATCGCCAAATATAAGAACAAAAAATAATGAAAATAAGAACCATAAAAGTAAGTATTGAAAACAAAGTTCTGAGTCTGAAGCTTTCTCTTTCTTTGTTGAAGAGGGAAACTGGCAAAGGTTAGAAATGTGTTTGTGGGGCTGAACAGAGAGTTTTTCTTTGTTACTGAATCAGAATGATTGAAAATGGTCAGTGAAGGAATGTTTAACTCTGTGGCTTGGGGGTATTTCAGACTGTGCCTGTGGACCCCCTGTAATCATTTCAAGGGTCCACTTTGATCTCTGAATTTTAGGAAACCCTCCTGCAGCAACAAAAATCCAGAGATAGATTTTTAAATAAACTTTATTTTTAATAGGCTTTATTTTTAGAACATTCTTAGATTTACAGAAAAACTGAGCAGATAGTACAGAGAGTTCCCATATAACCTTCCTTCCCACACAGATACAGTTTCCTCTGTTATTAAGATCTTACATTCACATGGTATATTGTCACTAATGGAACAAACATGAATACGTTGTTATTAATAGCCTATGTTCATTTAGATTTCTTTAGTTTTAAGGTAATGTCCTTTCTCTGTTCCAGGAGCTCATCCAGAATCCACATTACGTCTGGTTGTCATGTCCCTGTCGGCTCCACTTGACTGTGAGTTTCTCACACTGTCTTTGTTTTTGATGATCTTGACAGTTATGAGGAGTACGGATCGGGTGTATTGTAGGTTGCCCCTCCGCTAGGATGTGTCTGATCTTTTTCTCATGGTCAGACTGGGAATATGGGTTATGGGCAGAAGACCACAGAGGTAGAGTGCCACTTTCATCACATCATATCAAGGGTGCATACTATCGATACGGTTGTTGGCTGTTCGATGTTAACCTCGATTGATCACCTGGCTGAGGTAGTGTTTGTCAGGTTGCTCCACTGTACTTACTTATTCCTCCCACTTTATGATAGATTTTTAAAGTGTAGAGATAAATGATCAGATCTCTGTCTCAGAACATTCTGCCGGAAGTATAGAGGACACCACACTGGCTAGAGAAGTTCCCAAAGCCTTTTGGATCAAAACTGTCTAAATCAACAGTTCATTGATTCGGTCCGTTGTTTGGACCAGTCAGTTTTCTCTTCTATTTGAAAATACCTTTGCCACCTCTAGCCTTGCCTCCCCCTGTTGGATTACTTCAGCATCTGTGGCAGAAGTGATCATTGTGGGCAGAACAGACCCTTTCCCAAGTGCAGGGCAAAGCCAGCATTTCTATGGGTTAAAAACAGATGTCGTCTGCGCCAACACTGTGACTTCACTTAGACAGGACTCAGGAGAGAAACTTTGCATAAATTCAAGACAAAATCTCCATGTCTGCATAACTGCAACTCACTGGATAAGGACATTATGGCTGTTTGAATTGGAGAGGTGAAATACGAGTATTTATTTACGTAAGCATAACTGTTAGAAGTTTTTTCTTTCGCAAGTATCCCCCTCCCCCAGCAAAGAAGAAAAGAACAAAAACATAACACAAGACAATTTGAGCAAAAACAAATACAGACATACAGAAACATATATATGGCTTCATGCAGTGAACAGTTCAGAGGTAGTGGGTTTCAGGAGTGGCTTGTCCCAGGGGCTCAAATGACTTCTCACTGTCCTTTTCTCAGTTTTGATTCCTTCGTGGTAATCCATTCTTGAACAGTCGCCAGGTTTCAGGTGAGACCCTAGACCCCTAGGGGAGGAGTCATGTGCTGTTCCCCACTAGGGATGGAGCCCACCTCACTCTTGTGGATCGAGAAAGGGGAAAGAATGGACTCTCAAATAAGAAAGGGAAATGGGTGCTGAGAAGGGAAGCATCAAAGGCACACAGCAGTATGACGTACTCACAGCAAAACATCGTTGGAGACGGGTTTATTTTACCTGTGAATAGAACCTTGACCCAGAAAGGAGGAAGAGGATGTACGTTCAGGTGGAAACATTAGATTGGCATTAGATGAAGACATAGATGAAATCTCTGTTTTATAACTAGTTTGCCACACTTGCTCTATGGTAGCATGCAGTCATATAATTGCATGTACCCTCCGTTTCTGAATCTAACCAATGGGAATAATATGTCTCTTAACTACCTGGCGTGGTATGTGAGAAGATAAAATGAGACAATAAATGAGAAAATGTTTAGAAAAACTATTTTAACAACAGAACTCTCTCCATAATTCTAACAAAGTCCTAGAGTGACTTGTTTCAATTTTTAGAACCTGTTTCCAGAGAAGGAAGTCTTCCTCGTTAGAGGCTCAGCTATAATGTATTCAGGCAAATATATCAAGCAATAGACTTTAGGGTAAAAGCTGTTGAGAAGGAGTTACTGCCATTTGCCACGACATGGATGAATCTCACATAGCATTAGGTGAAAGCACATGGACACAAGAGAACCAACTGTGCGAGTCCATTTATGTAAACCTCAGAAACAGACCGATTTCCTCTATGGGGTTAGAATTCAGGATAATGGCTCACCTTCAGAGGGTTTGTAACCGGTAAGGGCACAAGAAAAGGTCACTGGGATGCTGGTGATATTCTGATTCTTGGCCTGGAAGTCGGTTACATGGTTATGTTCAGTTTATGAAAATGCATCAGGTGACATACGTATAATCTGTGCACGTTTCCGTCTGTGTATCTCATTGAAAAAGTATCCTAAAAAGATGTAATGTCATTAAGCATGAATCCAGTTTCAGATGACGAAGGCTGGAAAACTAGGGCCTGTGGAATGAATTCAGATTTCGGATACTTCTTGTCTGGCCAGTACCGTGTCTTAGGGTTTTTTCCCCCAGGGCAGTAGTGATAGGCTTGGAGTTTGGGAATTTGGGGAGATGTTAGATGTACTTGCCACTTCTCGATTGTCCTCATTTCTCTCTATAAAGCTACACCTGGCCCACTTCACCCCAGAGTGTTACCAGCCTGACCCCCTGAAGGTATTTGAGTTTGCAGATTCGGGAAAGGTTAAAATCCTGACTCCATCACAGCCCCCAAAGTGACCCTGGGCTGGTTACTTAGCCTCTCTGTGCCTGTCTTCTGATCCTAAAATTATAATACATTCCCAGAAGGGTTGTTTTTTTTTTTTTAATAAGGATCAAATAGGCACTTAACACAATGCCAGCCACGTGACAGATTCTCAAAAAATGGAAACGATAACTATTATTAGTAGTAATATTGCCATAAATACTAGAATGTTTAATGAAATAAAATCGATGGTCTCTTGTGGACCTCCAGCCGTTGTCTCACAAGAATCGCTGCTGAGCCAGTCCTTGCTCAGATCCCATTTGCCATGTCAGTGTTTTCATCAACCACGTTTAATAACCAGTTACCAGATGTGGATATTGGGGGCCGTAAATTTCCCTGGTGACGGTTGCCAATGGCAGGTAACTGTGTAATTACCACTTGTATTTCCACAAAACATGTGAACTCAAGTCAACATCGAGCGTTGTAGACAGTAAGACACCAGGGTTTTAAAATGCAGGGAAGAGCTGCCCAACCTGTATGATAAGAAACGGGTGCCTGGTTAGAAAGCAGAGAAAGGACTGATACCAGTGTGGCAAAACACCACTGGAAGCCTTTGCACAGGCAGGACCATTTCCTTTTTCCTTCCCAAGTGCTGCATACATCTGGAAGAAGAATTCAGCGTTTAGGATGAGCCATGGGTTGGTTAGGAATCAGTACCTTCACCTCTGGCCACAATCCACGGCCTTGGTTTTCAGTGTCCCCTTGGTAATGGAGTTGCCTTTCTCAGATTAGCATGGTCGCTTGGAAATGATGCCAAGCTGTTCAGCATCCTTCAAACAAGGTAGCTTAATGGGTTCCATGGAAATATCCCATGACAGCAACATACTAGGACTTTTAGAGAGATTGACACCGTGACTCCAACTGGAAATGCTCACGATACTCCTTTGCAAGGTGTCAGACTTAGACCCCAAACTGTAGTTGAAGATTCTTTGGTTTCTGAGCGTCATGTTTTCAGCTTACGAGAAAGGAAGTTAAAATGGGTCGCAGGGGAAAAAATGTCTTGCCTTTGGAGTCCCGCAAAGTGTTTGATTTTTTTAAGAAAGAAGAAACCGGATAAGCTTTATTGCTACTATTATTTCTTCCCGTGCAGTGTCTGTGCATGAGCAGGCTAGCATTCCTGCAGTGGGCTTAGGTTGAATTTGTGTTTCTAGAAGGAGCTGTCCACATCAGCACAGGACCAAGGCGGGTGAGCTGAAGTCGAGCAGGTTGAGCAGTGATAGGGGACAGAATTGGAATTTCTTAAGATGACCAGTCCCAAGTCTCCTGAACTTCCAGAAATTATAAAGTCATGGGAGAAGAATTTCTCCAAGAGTCTTATTTGGCTGGCCAAAGAAACTGAAATTCAACAAATTGAAAAGTGATCACAGTGAATTCTTAAAGAACAAGTTCAGAGCATGGCATGGGGCCATTTTTAGAAGTGTAGATGCCCTTCTACCAAGCTAATGAAATGGCCCTATTTTCCTTCTGACAACAACGGTTTCATTGATATATCATGTTGCCCCAAACCAGTCGAAATTGATAACAGAGTAGTTGATTTTAAATTACCTAAGACTCAAGTAGGCAGAAAGAAATAAAAATTTGCTCCAGGTATTTGGAGGGGCAAGGCCTTTTGCAAAATTGGACAAGAGACATCACTAGTAGCACTGTCTTCAGGAGACCAATTTTCTGTGCATGTGTCCTTGCAGTTGTTCCGAAAAGCATGGATTCCTCCTGGTGCACCTGGAAGTCTTGTCTTTTCCTAACCTATGACTCTGGTTCATACAGTGTCACCTACTGTCAAAAGTATCCAGCCGAAAAGAGTAAAAGGCATTTGACTGAAGGACGATAATACAGGCAAATTGGATTCCAGATTTTGTACAACTCCGAGATAGTTTATGTTCATCTTTTTTCAGTCTCAACATAAGAGTAACTTGCAAGATGCCCCCTAAACCTTTTTCTGTGCTACAGCTTATCTCTGAAGAAAACAAAACACGAGCGGGACGGCTTTGTGGAACAATCCTCCCTTTATCCTCCAGAAACGGCACTGGTAGGTATGATTAAATGTAACCGAGCTAGGTAAAATGGATACCACATTTGGAGCAAGGAACCGTATTTTCCTTCAGCCAATATTTTGGAAAAATCTGATGTCAGTTTGGACATTGGTATTAAACCAATCCATACAAATTCAGGCAAATACAGCTGCAGAGGTCTCCTGTAAAAGCCAGTCATTTTGTGCTGAGGGCATCTAACTGAATATTAGCACATGGTGGTAACTAGCCAATCAGTTTGTGCGTTTGATTGGAATTTCAGAAGATAATTGTTTCATTTCCAGGTCTGTCTCTAGCTCACCATTTGACCTTCAACTAATTGCTTAATCTCTCTTAGCTTCAGGTTTTCTATCTTGAAAGTGAGAAGAATAATAACAACCAACTACCTATCTCATCCGGGTATTGAGTGGATTAATGGGGTCATGTTTGTAAGGTCCTGGAAAATTCTCAAGAGAGAAAGTTCTGCCACTTTTCCGTTTCTGCCTGGTAATATTTTAGAGCCATAAATGGGAAGGCTTGCATTTAATGGGGTCGTTATTACAGACGGATGTCCTCCGCTTCCTTATAACTAGAGAATGGACACCTTTTGAAAGCAGAACTTTTCATTATTATGAAATCTCTGATTCTGTTTGGTTGGTGCAACAGTCGGGAACTCCTGTGATAAAGCAAGCTTTCTCCTCTAGCTAAACAGTCCGTGGAGCTCTGAGGAAAGCACCATAGTTTCATGACCACAAGGAATTACCCAGACTATTTCTGCTTCAGTAATACTTAGATTGACTTTTGGGGTCAAACAGACAGGTTGAGTCCCGTCTCTGCCACTTCCTGGCTGGGTGACCCTAAGCAAATCTCTCCACCTCCCTGTGCTTTAAGGCTGTTGGGAGCATGACCTTTAAGGAAAATGCTTAACACAATGTCCAGCACATGGTAGGCTCCCAGGAACCATTACCTATGTTAATAGTGTGTGTGACCATAACTGCATGTATTCTTCGATGCCACGAAGAAATTATAGTGAGCATTAGTCCTCGATTAAGCAAAACCTAACTCATCAGAGCTTGTGTTTAACCAGAACCTGGCTCATCATGGCTGTCCGGTAACACCACCCTCGTTTGGTGAGCACTTTAGATTTAGGAAAATGGCAAATGAAAAGGAAACAACTCGGTGTCAGGGATTTATGCAAATTCCTATAGTACATTTTTTTGTCAGTGCTGATCGAGCCCCATCTCCTGACTTTCCGGAGACGATAACTGCAGAGTAGCTCTGAACAGCTGACATTCACTGAGAAGGAACTACATGCCAAGCATTGTGCTAAACACTGTGAGTACATTTGCTCACTTAATTGTCACAACAGCCCAGGGAGGTAGGTACTGTTAGTAACTGTCTTACAGAGGGGGAAACCGAGGTTTAGTGAGGCTAAGTTATCCGTCCCTACGGTTATTAAATAGAGGCACCAGGTTTCAATCCTTACTCTGACTCCAGGGCCCTGCTCTAACCCAGAGCCATCCAACAGAAAATAATGCAAGCCATGTATGCAATTTTAAATCTGCTAGCAGCTATATTTTTAAAAAAGTTAAGAAGAAGCAGGAGAAATTAATTTCATTGATATATTTTCTCTAATGCAGTATATCCAAAATATTATCATTTCAACATAGTCGGTTTAGACGCTCTTAATATCTTATAATCTTTTTCTTTTTTCGTGCTGAGGCTTTGACATTCCGTTTATATTTTGCACTTACAGCCCATCTGAATTTGGACGAGCCACATTTCCAAGTGCTCAGCAGCTGCATGTGGTCCGTGACCACTGTACCGGGCGTGTGTAGCTCTCACCCCTGTACCGTCATGCCTGAGTCACTGAAGTCTGTGTCATCCAGGTTTACCAGACTGTATTTCCCGAGGAAGAAACTCAGTAAAATTTCCATTTTTAACAAAGGTAACAAAAAGGTATAGCAGGAGTTTAACATGTTAATTCTTACATTCCCAGTTTGCTAAACCATTAATTTATCCTCAAAGAATAGCTCTTTCCTAGAACATCCTGCTAGCTGAGCTTTTACTTGGTCATATTTAATATGTATATTTATACAAGTTGGTATAAATGAAAAACCATTAAATGAATGACTGAATGAATATATTCACTACCATGGAAAAGGAGGATCTCTTAGGCAGGGAAGATACGTAGGTACCATATGGGCAAGAACCTTATCCAATTTTTGCCCATCTCTGTAGCCCTGCAAAGTGCCAGGCATGAAGGAGACTGGCAAGAAGTCTTTTTTGGGGAGCAAATTGATGAATCCACATGGAGAAATTAGTTACTTCAAACTTGATTCCTAATGGGCACAGGGAATCTAAGTCCCTTCTTTCTCTCCCCTGAGTATCTGGATTTTAAGGCTTAAAGTAATGAATTTAATTTATTTAAACCGTTTATGTTTCCAAATGAAATGGCATCAGAGAGACCACAGAAATCAAGAGTCTACTTGTTTTGCTGTTTGTTTTGTTTTGGTCGCACCGCGTGGCTTGTGGGATCTTAGTTCCCCCGACCAGGGGCTGAACCCTGGCCCTCGGCGGTGAAAGTGTGGAGTCCTAACCACTGGACCGCCGGGGAATTCCCGAGGGTCTACTTTTAAAAGACAATTGTTGACTTCCTCACTGATAGTCCCAAATACGTCAAAGGCAGATGTCCCGTAGATGTTACCGTAGGTCACAGGCTGCACCGTCCGTCTCTCAGCCTCAGAGTATTTTGTCTCTGAGAAAAAACCCTCACATACTCTTTTCCTGGCCTGGACCTCACCGCTTATCCTCCAAGTGCTCCCGAGGTCCTCGCCCGACTCACGTATGGACTCTTCTCCCACGCCACACCATTCATACATTAGTGCTCAGCCCCCATGGCTTCTTCCTGCTCTGACAAGATAGTCTGTCTCAAGAGAACCTGAGGATGGTCTCAGATCAAATCTCCTTTAGTTTCGAGGGGGCTGGTCCAAACCCCAGCAGGGAACAGGTATCTGCCATTTAACCCTAAACCTGAATTTGCCTTTTTAACTTAAATATTAATTTCCCTAAGACAACCCAACACTGTTGTATTGTCAGAACTCTTTGAACTGCAAGTGCTAAAGCCCAGTTCAAACTGATTTCAGAAAAGAAAGGTAAGGAGGTTAAGGTGGCCCTCAGGCACGGCTGGATCCAAGGGCTTCGACAAGCCCCATTGTTGTTCTCCATTTCTGGGTTCTGCTTACTTCTGTATTGCCTTTATTTTCAACACTTCCTTATGTCATGGGATGCTTCCCAACCCCTTACCCAGAAACACATTTATAGCCAACCAGGGCTCTTGATCTGCAAGATTCATCTTTAGCCTGGCTATGTGCCCTGGGGCAAGTTGCTTCACTACTCCAAACTTACGTTCCCCTTCTGTAACATCAGGATAATAACAGCCTTCAGGTCAGGCTCCATATTATGTCCATAAAATGCTTAGCACAGACCTGAGTGAGTGTTTTAAGACAGAAGTGGGGGGAAATTCTATCTTCTATGGGGTAGGTAGTCACGATTGTAGAAAAGAGACTGTTTACAAGTTCTCCCAACCTCCAACCAGTGTCGTTCGACAGAGGACAGTGTGCATCTGTTCTCTGAGCCTCCTGTAAGACTTCAGTGCTTGGGAGACCTGGCAATGACATGGGTGTAGAGGGTTTGTCTTCTGATGGTGACCCATGGAGTCAGAGTAAACCCCTGTCTCTTGCTGGACCCCCTTGGGACTTGTAGCGTGGCCAGCCAGCACGAGGAGGGATGCCCAACGTTGAACTTGGTCCTTAAGAGGTCACAGACCCAGAGCCCTCACCCAAGCAGCAGTAACAACCAGGATATGTTTAGAAACACATTTGGGGGGCTTTCCCCTCAGCCACACGTTTGAGATTTTATTCTAGAGCCTGTTCGGGTCTAGTGCCTAGTATAAGTGCTCAGTAATTACCTGTTGACTAAAATGAACAAACCAACATGATAACATGACCTGGCACATACAATACTAATGTGATGAATGTATGAATGAATGAATGCGTCGTAAAGCTTGTTAAATGAATAGTTGATGATCTACAGTAGATGAGCCATAAATGTTGGCTGAATGAATGAATGAATGAATGGCCTGTCAGTCATGTCCACGGCTACTACTTTCCATATGTGTTAAGCTGATCTTTGATTTATTTTCTGTAGCTATAATTCAGTCCCAGCAAACTGACACTCTAAATTTATGACTTGTTTTTATTTCCTGTTGTTGAATTTTGAAATAGATGATGCCGTCACATGGATTGAATTCCGTTTTCAAATAGAAAGAGGTATTTTCAAACATCCTTGAACTGAGCATGCAGAATGAGGGAGGCATGGTGCTTACGTACTCACTAATCTCTGTTATGACACGTCTGCATGACTGAGAGTATCATGCTCCTGGGTTGAGGAAAGGAGGGTTGTCCACAAATGACACATGAGTGGAGCCATCGTGTTCCTGTATATACTCGGTAGATATATGTACGGGCTGGAATAGGTAAGTTTAATCCTTTGCCATTATTCATTTCACTTTCCTGAATTCTGTGCTATTTCCAAGGAGTAACTGCTTTTCTTCTGGGTTAAGTAGAAATCTTTGCTTAAGTCAAAACCACTTACTTTAAATACATTCAGAGACATCAGGATCTTTTGCCCTAGGAGTGTTTCTCATGTTTTTCAAAGTCCATGAATTGTCACTTGACCTTAATGGACACTTATAGATCACTGAATTAAGGATTAAACTAAGTGGAGAAAAGAAGCTTTTATCCAAAATTCTCTGATTTATTGAGACAGATTTGGGAAGTCATAACAGTGTCACTTAATTGAGCATTGATGATTATAGTGCCAATGTATACAAAATGAAAAGGACTTGGGGTTTAATTCTGCTATTTGGAATTATTTGTGGTCCCTTTTAAGGAGGTCGAGAATATTTGCACAGAAGAGAAAAATCTGGTGAGAGTTACTCCAGTTAAAATTCAGTAAGATGTGCAATTGCTATTGTAAGTCAGAACGTTCCTGAAAAGTTAAAAAAAAAAAAATTCCTCAGCTTCCTAGATACTTTGTGCACAGGTTGGTATCAGGAATTCCAAATAAACGACTAAATGGTGAAATGTTGTCCCTTTCATTTAGGTACGTTACTATTATGTATCTCTCCTGCTGAAAAATTTTCTCCATCATTGGTTTGAAGTTAAAAATTGTGTCACATAGCTGAAAATAACAAAAAGAGATGTTCATATTCTTAGGTAGTCTTGAGATGCCAGGATGCACTTTTCTTCTTCAGGCAAAATCCATTTTTAACACTCATCCTCCAGGTAGGCTTTCCAGGTGGTCATGAAAGGAAACTTGTTCATTGCTTCGTATCTGGAAAGGATAGATTTGATCTACGTTGGAATCTTCTTAGAGCCGAATCTGAACATTATCCAGCCCCTTTCTAATGAGATTGTGTTCTTCTGCCAACCAGTTTCACTGCATGCCTGAGTCGGAAATTTTTGAAACATATTACACTTTTCTAGATTTTTCTTCCAGAGAAAGGAACTTAGCTGAAGAATTTGAAAACCTTCTCTTACATACCCAGAAGTTTGGCCGGGTAATGGGTTGTTTGGGAACAAAAGTAATTACCGAGTGTAGGTAGCCAAATCAGATCTGCAAATCCTAATACACAGATTTAGGCACGTGATGTTGAAATGTGTGACCAGTAAATAAATAAGACAAAATAAAATTCCAACATTTTCTCCTGTCTCTCAGGAGAGTCTAATAAATGGACTTGGGTTCCCCTGCAAATAGTTAACCTATGTTCTCCTATACCCAGCATCTAGAGGCCCAGTGGCCCACATACAATATGGAATGGGCAACAAGACTGACCATGCCAGCTGCCTTTTAAAAGTAAATGCCAGTTAAGAAAAAAATCGCCTTTCCGAGGAAATAGTACGGCAAAAGGGGGAGTAATGGAATGCCATCTTCCTTCAGAAGAAAACAATTTCTCTTATCAGACTCCTTCCACTTAAGGTAAGCCTTGTGTGGGAGAGACCAGGGGGAAAAATGGGGGCACACTTGGGGAACCAGGGAAACATTAAAAAATAGTTTTGCCTTTATTTGTAGGTAAAGTATCCATAAAGTATACTGGTGAAGCTCCTGATATTACAGTCAGATTACCAAGGTTCAAACCCTTGCTATGGGCATGACCATTCATTCATTCATTCATTCTGAGCGTTTCCTCTGGGCCGGACACTGGAGGTTACAGCTCTGAACACGATAGATGAGACCCCTGCCCTCCTGGAGCTTACATTCTAGTGAGGGGAAACAGAAAACAAAGAAATAGGCGTGCCGATGAAATGAGCTCATTTTAGACCAAGATGGAAGAAGAAAATCATGCAGAGAACCACCGGCAGGGGGAGCTGGAGGTCCCTTAGGTTAGGATGTATACACTGAGGTGGTGGCCTGAATGAAGCGAGGGTGCCCAGGCGGGAGGAATAGCTTTCCAGGCACCGGGAACAGCAGGCGCGAAGGATGCATTACGATGTGGCTGTCACGCAGGTCAACTTGTTCAGACTTTATCTGGTAAGGTAGGGAGTCCGTGCAAGACTTCGAGCAGGGGAGTGATATGATCTGAGCTGCACTGGGGGGGGCGAGCCCTCATGTCCCCATCTCTCGTGTCAGGGATGACACAGGAGGAGCAGCAGGCCAAGGCCTTCTCAGAGAACCGGGAATTCGGAGGACATTGTCCAGACAAGGTCAGCATTCCAGGTGAGTTGCTGAGCATGGACGCTTTGACTGCTGACGGTGCTGGTGGAATGAGGGCAGGGAAGTCGTGGCTTCACGGCACGCCAGTGAATGAAATAAGGACAAATCTTTGACAGATCCATCAGACTGAACTGGACTTGAATCAGACTTTCCTGGTGTGGCTTATTCTGGTGGTTTTTGTGTTCGGGGCTTAGTGGAGTGAATCAGAAGCTTTCAGGAAAAGACTCTTTCCACTAAGGTAAGCCTCATGTGGGAGAGGCCAAGGGGAAAAGTGTGGGCACATTTGGGGAATCGGGGAGATACCTTTAAAAAAGTGGTTTTCTCTTTACTTATAGGTAAAGTATGGTGGTTAAGCCTCTGTTATTTAGATGCAGATTACCAGGGTTCAAACTGTTGGGTTTGAATACTAGAACAGCTTGGGTTTATAGAAATTGTGACCTCTTTGAACCCTTTTTTTCTCCATATCGCGCAGATAATAACAGGATCTACCCCATGAAGTAGTAAGGATGAAACAAAGCCATGAATTTAAAGAGTTCAGACAGGAGCTGGTATCTGGCACATAATAAGAGCTCAATAAATGTTACCAGCAATCATTACTATTATTCATTACTCATTATTATCTCAGCACTTACCAGCCTCCTCCTTATTGAATTCTACCGTGCAGACCCGGCGGATCATGTATAATTGCCTACCATATTTCTCTCCTCTTCCCACACATCCACCCCTACCCTCCTCAGGCAACTCATTTGTCTCAGGATTTTCCCCGGAGACCCAGGGACAGATATTCCTCATGTTGAAATCAGTGCAGCAGTCTTCTCCACGGGCAGAGGCTGGACCGAAGCCTTCTGTACGTTGTCTCAATTGTTGGAGCCTCCCTAATGTGTTCCATCTTACAGGTGAGGAGATGGGGCTCAGAAGGGAAAGTGACCCCTGTAGGTTACTTGGTCAGCAAGAGGCAGAGTGGAGATTCAGACTTAGGTCTGTTTGACCTCGATGTCCCTTAAAACTCAAAAAAACAAAGCATCCATTCAGAACCCCCACCCCCCCACCCCACGAAAAAAGCACCATTGACTATAAAAATAAAGAGGGCTCTAAGTTAGGAGAGCACCGTGATTAGGCCAGTGCTAGGAGAGCCTGAGGTTCTCAAAGAGACTCCTTGAGTCTGCCCAGTGTCCAAAATTGTCCTCCAACCTCAAAGGAGCCTCTGTCCCTTCCTCCCTGCAAGGCCGGTGGCCAGTGGCAACACAATGTGGTGGTATTGCTTTGACTGTGGCCATGCGGTGGTGAGGAAGCCCTGACCCCCTTCCGGCCTCTTTGTCCTGTTTAGTGCTCCATCTGTGGGCCCCTCGCCGGCAGCCCGGCTGGTCTTGACTCTGAGGTGGAGAAGTAAACATCTTGGAAATCTTTATTAGTTTATTTCAGAAGATGGAGCCTGTTTGTCCCTGGGGCCCGTCCCTCTTTTATGGCCTCCAGCCCTTCTTGACAAATTCTAGTGACCGGAGAGAAAACCGCTTTCTACAGCGGATCATTAAAACACCACCATAAACCTAGGGCCATAAAATCTTATTTGCTGGGCATAAAAGGGGGGTAGATTTTCCCAGAATGACAACCCAGGCCCTGCTTTCTCCCACTGGGAAAGGCGGCACAGGGATGCGATCGTTCATAAATTCCTTATCTTGCACTCTGTTTTGTGAAATAACCCTGTTGGGAGAGCAGCCAAAAATATTGATTTATTTGTTCCACAGACTCAAAAGCATTTTTAATGAGTGGAGTATGGCGATGCCTTGCCAGTGTGTCTGCAGATGACTCAATCTGTGTGCACACACCCAAATGCACACACGGTTTGCAAAGGGAAACCATGGAGCTCCACAAATTGGAGGTAGGTTAAACGAGAATATTTGAAGGTGGAGGTGAAGAGGCATCCATTTGCCTCCTTCCAACTGTCTGCTCCTCTCACAGCCAAATTAACCAGCACCCATGGTGGGACTGGTTCTTACGACTGAGCCCGACTTTCCAGAGCAGAACCTGGTTGAAGGTTCTCAGTGGATTTCACAGTTGGTCTCCCTTGACATTTTCCCCTGGAAAGAATTCCTTCATCCATTCATGCATTCATTTGGTCGTTCAACAAATACTGTTGAGCACTTACCAAGTGCCAGGCACTGTTCTGAGCACTGGAGTTGCAGCCATGAAAAACACTGTCACAGAGGTTATTGCATCCTCGTGGGGTATAATCTCAGCACACCCAATATTAATTTCATCAGATGAAGTTCACAACCCTTTATCTGAACTGCTTGGGGATAGACTGGTTTGTTGGAAATTTTGGAATTTTTTTTGAAAGATAAAATGGGGCATATGATTATTTAGTTTGCACATAGCCCCAGTGAGGTCTGGGGAAGTACCCGGTAACCCAACACCGTTCATATTGCATCTGTGAAGAGTACGAACATTCACTCCAACTGGGATAAATTAAGACTATAAATGATCTTGTCATGGGAGGTACAGCTTTGCCACCAAAGGAGCTTAAAAACCTGTTTTCAGAGCTGCTTTTTTGTAGAGTAGCAGGTATTCAGTGCCCAGTGCGTGCCTGACCCCTGCTAAGTTCTCCAGAAGCATCACTGTTCATTCTCACTGCACCCCTGATTTTCAAGGTCATCTGTTTCGTTTTCACTGCTCTCCTACCAGGTAGGTCATCATGTTTCTGTTTTTCTTTGTTGTGTGGCGAGGTCATTATATTTCTCTGGGTTTTGTTTGTTTGTATTGTAACAAAATCAATATTTGTGTTGTCATATGTGTGTGTTTAAGAGGATTCTGAGAGGCTAAATGACTTGTCTAAGGTTTCACAGCTGGAAAGAGGCAGATTTGGGACTGGAACTCCAGACTGCAGAGTTTACACTCAACCATAACCTAGCACCAGTTCCCACTAGAGGAAAGACAGCAAAACAGGATATGAAACTCTTGGGGCTAACAAAGGCTAACTAACAAAGGCAATTAGAGAGAAGCCGGCAATTATTCTGATAATTCAGAATATAACTTTTTTTTTTTTTTTAAAGGTTTGTGGTTAGGTAGCTAGTGTTTCTGGAGCAAATTCTCAGAATAGGATCTTATAAGCATTCTACCTCCAGCACTCAGGTGTCAGCTCAGCACCCTTTGGGAACTCTATTCTTAGTCACTTTACTTCCTGACACTTATCAGAGCCTCCGTGGGTGAACTGGGTCCGAGGCCATGCTGCGGAGCATTGCTGGGGTGCCAGCCCAGGAGGAGGGGGTGTTCCCCACAGCCCGGAGAATCCAGGCTGCCAGCCGCTGGGCCAAAGAGCTGGAGGGAGGGAACTGCGGAGAGACACTGACTGCCCAGGGGCAGTTTGCCAGGAGGGGACCCTTCTTTGTTTAGACCCTCCTTCCCATGGGCAGATCTAAGGCTAGATTAGAAATTGGAAAATAGCCACTATGTGGTCAAGGCCTAGAGAATGTGAAGGGAGAGGGGATTCAGGTGAATGGGAGATGTCCCAAGGGCATCTATGATAAAGTTGGGTTCCCCCTTCTTAAGTCTGCATGCGTCCCTGGTGAAAGAAATCGTCCCCGGAGGAAGCCAGGGCTTCTCTTGTAGTTTGTGGGAAGCCCACACTGCCATTCTGGTGTGCCCAGCAAAGGCCAGGACCCTGGAGGGGTACAGGCAGCTGGGACAAGTAAGGGTCAGGAAGGGACTTGCAGAGGGTGGGGCAGCATCGCCCTGGGGTGGTCAGCCAGAGATTGGAGTGGGGGATGGAAAGAACGAAACAGCCACTGCCCCAAGTACCCAGGCCAAGGGTTTTGTGCTTTAAGGTCAAGGGCATGCCAGATGTATGGCAGAAATTGAATCCAGTGTGTGCGTGTGCGTGTGTGTGTGTGTGTGCGTGCGTGTGTGTGTGCGTGCGCGCGCGCGTGTGTGTGCGTGTGTGTGTGTGTGTGTGTGTGTGTGTGTGTCTGTCTTCCACCTTGGGTTGAGGATGGGGAGGGCTGAGAACAAGAACTGCACTCCAAGGTGAACCACTGTTTGTGGGTGGCGCCCCTGGCGTGCGGGAGGTAGGGGTCACACGTCCACCAACCCCGCCCAATCGGGGTCGCCCAAACCACAGGTGTCTGGAAGTGCCTGCACGTTGCGGTGCCCTGCAGAACCTGGTTTTGCCGAACTTCGCAGCCTTTTCACCTGAGGGGACCAGCCAAGATGCAACCCGGCAGGATCACGGGTCGCTTCTGGATGCGTTGGGTCGCAGCCAGATGCTCACTCGCGCACCCCAGCACCCAGATCTCCTACACTGGGGGCGGGGCAGGATGTGTGCGCCTGTCCTCGTCTCCAGCCCCCCCCCCCCGGGCTTAGGGACCCTCCCCCAAGGTTAAGAATGGGAAGGAGGTCCTGCTAGAGATCCCGTGTCATGGCGACAGCCCCCTGTGCAGCCCCAGTGCGAGCGGCCTTGGACAGGTGAGCCAAGGGGTCCAGGCTGAAGTTGGGGTTCAGCTTCCATTGGGTAGGCGGTTTTGGAAGGAGAGCAGAGGGCCGGGCGGCGGTCAGGCAGCGGCTGCGGAGTGGACCTCTCTCTCTCTCAGCAGACGCCTGGGGGATGGGGAGCCAAAAGCAGGGGGATCGAGCAGGGAGTGTATCCCGCCCCCCTGCACCCCAGCTCGTGGTACGGCTTTAAAATCCTGCAGAGTTTGTCATAGGTCGGCCTCAGCACGCATGCGCAAAGACAAAGTTGAGTTTTTTTCTGTCTCCCCTCCCCTCCCCCCCTTTCCAGCAGCCTTTGGTTCTAAAACTTAAAAAAAAAATTTTTTTTTTTTTTCTCTGAGAACACCAGGGGAAAGAGGAGTCCGGAGAGAGTGAGGGAGAGAGGGAGGCCGGGGGGTGGGTGGGGGGTACGTGGTCCCTGCGGTCGGTCAGTCTGTCTGTGGGGCGCAGGATCGCGTGGAAGGCTGCTGCAGGCTCCGAGGCGCCGCCTCCGCCGCCCGGAGTCCGGTTCCGTGCGGCCGCTGCCGAGCGAGCTCCTCCCGCCGCCGCCGTGCCCCGACCGCCCGCCGCCCGCCTGCTCACTCTCCCGCCCCTTCGTCCCGGCGCCAAACGAGGAGGTGGGGAGCCACGCCGGCCATGGACCGCCGGAGCTGAACAGCCGCCGCGGAGTCCCTCTCCCCTCGCCCTCGCCCCTCTCTAGCCCCACGGCCGCGGTGCCCGCGCGCCTCTTCGCCCTGGAAAGGCGGGGAAAAGAGGGGGATTAACCAGAAGAGGGAAAGAAGGGGGTTGGGAGGGGGGAGCCAGTGTCTCCCCTGGGGCAGTCGCGCATCGTCCCCGAACCCACTGGAGGCAGAACTTTCGGGGACAACTTTTACCCAGTTTGCTCCCCCTTTTTACCAAACCCTAAAATGAAAGGACAAAAGTTGGCGCTGACTCTTGCAGCTCGGATGGCGACTTCTGCATTTTCAGCGGCATCTCCCGGAGAAAAACCCATGCGCGCCTGATTGTTCTGTGGCCCCCAAGCTGCAGTGCGTGTGGGTGTGTGTGTGTTTGGGTGTGTGTCTGTGTGTGTACACAGACATCCACACACTCACTCGCGGCCGCAGGATCAGCGCCTGGAAGCAGACGTTTCGGCCACAGACTTGGAGAGGAGGAGCTGGAGATCAGGAGGCGTGAGCCGCCAGGAGTCTGCAGAATCCGCGGTGTGAATGAACTGGGGGCACCTGGGCGCACGGATCGCCTCCCCCACCCCCCCGCCCCGGGCCAGAGTTGAGTTGTGGGGCATTTTTTTCACCCGCTTGTGAAGATTTTTTTTTTATTTGTTGTAAAGTATTTTGCACAATCACGCCCACATTTGGGGTTGGAAAGCCCTAATTACCGCCGTCGCTGATGGACGTTGGAGAGGGAGCGCCTCGCCGCGAAACAGTCGCCTGCGCGCCCTCGCCGGACCCGCGGCTCCCTTGTTGCGCGCTGGCCGGGCCCTGTTCCTGCTGCCGGCAGGCGGACTTCGGCGCCCCTCGGTTCACGGACGCATCCCAGCGCTGCTCCGGCTCAGGCACCCAGACTCGATGCCAGTGACCGCTTGGGCTCCAATCCCCTGAGCCTGCCCGACGCGCCCTGGAGGAGCACGCAGCTCTGCGCCGGATCGTCCCTCCAGGCTTAACTCGGCCGCTCCGCTCAGATTCTTCGGCTGCCCTCGGTCTTGCGGCGACTTCCTCCCCGCGCCCCCTCCCCCTCGCAATGAAGGTAGGTGTTCTGTGCTCCGCCGACGCTCGCCACTTTTTTTTCTTTTGGAAGTTAACTAAATATCCCGCCCCCCCCTCCACCCATTCCTATTCCTCCCCCCCCCCTTCTCCCAATGCCTGGAGAGGCTTAGAACTCCCGCGGAGCTGGCAGGGGCCCCCCCCCTTTCCCCGCCGCGCTCCCCCCCCCCCCCACCCCCGCCCCGCGCACTGCCTCGGCCTCCCAGGAGACCTGGTCCCACCAAACGTTCTGCAAACTTTTTAGACTTTGGAGAAAAAGTGGGGAAGAGACGAGACAGAAACACAGCGGTTCACGGATGAGTTTCCTTTTGCCCTGAGAAACGCGAGTGTAATTTACTCTGTATATTTCAGTAACAGCATAATGATTCAATTCAACAAATATTTACCAAGCGCGGGCACAGAGAAGGTGTGCAGCCAGGGCTCGGAAAGGGGAAGGGGACTCCTTGGTTGAGAGACCGTGAAGCTGGACTAGGGGCCGACTGTGCCGAGCAGCGCACCTCTCGCCCTCTGCAGCCAGAGGCCAGGTTGCAAGCTCAACGCAGCCGGGGACCCAAGCGCTGCAGGCCCTGTGCCTTTAAGAGTGCCTGGCAGGGGGCCAGCGTGCACCCTGGCTCGGGGAACGGGGTCGCGTTATTAGCATTATTAGTTGCCACTGGGTGAGCTCCGCAGTTTGCAGCGGTGATGGGGGCGGGGAGGGCTGGCAGTGGTGGCTCTAATCCTGTCCGCTGGGAGAGCGCGCCCCGGCCCCCTGCGCGGAATCTGCCTTGTCCTTTAGAAACATTTGGGCCTCCGCGTTGGGAGAGCGGGCGGGGGGCAGTTTGTGAACTCTTGTTTGTTTTAATTGTCAGTTGTATGTTAAAGCCGAGTCACACACTCCGAGGGTCACCGAGAGTTCACTTTTACAGAAAGTTAACATTTCTTCCTGCGGTATAACTTGCTATTTTCCGAACAACTTTTCCTCTCTGTCCTCCAAGCTTCGATCCTTATTTTCATTTTTCTTGATCTCTCCCCTTTTCAGTTTTTCTAGAAAATAAGCTTGGAATTGTAATTAAGATGTTTCCTAAAGCAAACAAGCCCCCCCCCCACCAAAAAAAACCCCGTTTTTAAAACCCCCAAACTTGGGAGACCCTGTGGCCTTGTTTTACTTTCCAATCGCAGCCTGGCATCAGGGTCCCTTCTCCTCCCTCGTCTTTCTTTAAATGGACAGCTTACTGTTTGGAAGTCACTTGGAGCCAGCGGTGGGATCGCACCTCTTCAACCCCTGCCCTCCCGCCAACGTTCAAGGCTGCTCCAGCCAGATGCGGAGATTTTGTTTCTAGACAATCTCTGCCAGGGGAGTTCCGAGGGGCCAAAGCTGAAAGAAAGCGCGCAGGCGATGGGAGGCAGTGGAAATCGTGTGTCCGAGTGTGTGGATCTGTGCCCTGCGTGTTTTGGGGCGGAGTAGAAGGTCAGTTGTTCTCGGGTCTTGGATATACTAGCCTTACTGAGCCAGGCCCGTCTCCACAAAGGAAGACCCTGCCCAGGAGGCCCAGCCAGAGTCCCTTGCTTTTCCCTCCGCTCAGCGGAGCTCCCCGGTGCACAAGGGGTTAGTACGGTGCGCCAGACCTCAGCTAGTCCTGAAGTCTTTTTCTTCCTCGCTGTGCGGTACCGGCTGCCCCCTGTTGGCTGCCTTGAGGTAGGACGTCTTGGAGTCTCGGTTCCTTGGGCCGGCGGGCAGCTGCTCGCCTCTTCCTCCCACCTCTGGCTCTGCAAGCACATCCCTTCAGATCACCAGGTCCCACTCTCCCAGGAGGGGCCCTCGGAGGCCCCCAGAGGCCAAGCTGCACTGGGCGGCTGCGTTAATAAGGAAGGGGCCAAGGGTGCGACGCAGCAAATGGGGCTCGGGCAAGTGGAAGAAGGATTGGTACCGCTTCTCCAGGGCATAGCAAGGAACAGGAGCGTCACCCTAGGAAGTCTCCGGTCTGGCCTTGGCGCTCTCACCAGTTTTCCCTGTGGTCCAGGACAAGTGGTGCTTTCTCTCCCTCTCGGTCTGTTTCTTGTCTATTAAAAAGTGGAGTTGAAACTGCCTCTGAAGAGTGGGGGTTGAAGTGTTCTTTAATTTTCTTTCTCCTTCTGCCGACAAACAGCTCTTCTGGACAGAGTTGAGAGCCTGTGGCTAGAGAGAGTTAGACATCTTGTGTGGGAAGGTGGAAGTGGCATCTGTGTGTGTGTGTGAGAGAGAGAGAGACAGAGAGACAGAGAGAGAGTTGTCTTGCAGTCTGGAGAGCCTTGTCTGGGGATGGACGAGGTGAGGCAAGGAACAGAACTAGACTTGGCCACCGTTCTTCCCTTGGATATGCCCTGTTACCGAACCTGGTGTCGGTTCTGAGACAGGGCAATCAGAGGCTGCACACCTTCCTTGCACTGATTTGGGCTCAAGGAGCTCCCTCCTCCACCTCCTCTCTCCGCTCCACACAGCCCCCGCCCCCCCAGCACTCAGCGCTGTGGACACTTCCCGAGGCACCCTTGGCGGAGCTCTGGCTCCTTGTCTGCTTCCCCAAAGCGGACCTCCTTTCAGCCCATCATCCCCTCCTGCTTCTCTCAGCGGCGTTCCCCTGGGCAGGACGCCCCAATTTTGTGGCTGCCACTGATTTTTCTTCTGCAATTTTCGCCGTCTCTTGCCTTGCTTTCAGGAGAGATCGCAGGTGGGGGGGAAAACAAAATTTATCTCCCACTAAGAGCTGGGATTCTTGGGGTTTCCTGTGCTTTTCGCCAGCGCGAGCCCAGGTCAATCTAATTTCTTCCTCCCAGTTTCTCCATCGTTTCCGCTCCCAGAGACTGGGGGTGGGGGCTGAGGGTGGAGGTGGCAGGGGATACCCTGATCAAGTGAGGTAGCGCCGTCGGCCAAGGGTCCAGAATCTTCGCCCTCCCTCCGGGGAATTTCGTTTTAGTGGCCTCCGGCCTCGGACTTGGGTGCCGCGCGAGTTTGCGCGTGCGTTCCGAAGCCTTCTGCTGCCCCAAACGTCCTCTGAACTAGTGTGACGGATTCCTGTCTCTCTCTCTCTTCCTCTCTCTCTCTCTCTCTCTCTCTCTCTCAAGAAGGGTTATGGATCTGTTCTGAGGCTGGAAACAAGGGCGTGCGAACGAACGCCCTACCCCCACCTCACCCCTCCCCTGTGCTTGAACCTCTCAAATGCCCGCAACCCTCCTACTTGTCGCACACTAGGAACAGATTCCAAGGATCCTTACAAAGTCGGTTTCCTTGGGCCCTGAAATTGTTCAAAAACTTTTAGTCCGTTCTTTGGTAAACTCAGCTTCTCCCCAGAACTTTTGTTTTACCCTCGGTGTTAACAGTCTCCGGAGAGGTCTTATTCGTACTCTTTTCGGATCAGATCTCTTGGCAAACAGGCAGGGACGTTCACCCTACAGAGTAGATGTATTAGTGAGTTTGCTGTGGGTTCCTTGTCTTTCAAACTTGTGGGGCCTTTTCTGGGTTGCGCGGGGATTGGAGCGGGAAGAGGACCAAGGTGTTTCCGGCCAAGCACGCGGGGTTAAGTGGAGACGCGACTCGCGGGGCTCTCCTGCCGGATCCCCTTTGGGACACCTCCGGCCTACCCCCAGCCTGGCGCTTAGAGACCAGAGTCGCACAAACCAAATGGCCCGCTCCCAGGTGGCCCCCATTCTGTGAACGAGTGGACTCGCCCCGGGGTCGTCGGGCCGAGAGTGGGTTCGGTTTGTGTGGCTTCGCCTCTAACAAAGAGATCCGCAGTAATCCGCCGAATCTGTTACCAATTTCTCCACTGCCCGCTCCCCGCCCCACGCGCCCCGCCCGTCGGGAAGCTCGGAAAGTGCGCGCGGCCCGCAGCGATCTCTGCCGCCTCCTTGGAAGCACGTCGGAGCGTGTGTGTCTGTGGACGAGTGAGTGTGTGAATGTGCGTGAGTGTGTGTATGAATGTGTGCGCGCGCGGTCCTGGCCGCCGCTGGGGAGAGGAGACTTCGCAGCCTGGGCCGCGCGCGAAGGCAGCCCTCGCAACCAACCCCCTCCCCTGGAGGAAACTTGACACTTGGGGCGGGGGTGGGGAGGAAGACGGAGCCTTCTCTCTGCTGGGCTGGGGAAACCCCAGGTTTCTATTCTCCCGGATGCTCCCCGGGCTTTGCGGCGTTTTAGGGACGAGTGGGACACAGGCGCGGAGCCCTGGGTAGCGGGCACTGGGACCACATAAGCATTTCCTCTCGAGGAGCCCCAAGGAGTCTGGGCCAAAAGGGCGGCTGGCAGGGAAAAGCTGTGGCGCGCTCCCGAGCCCCTTCGCGTTTCCACGGCTGCCTAGGTTCCCTCGATCTCTTTTCCGGCGCAGGTTCCAGGCCAGGCCGTTCTGCCGCCTGGAGGAGGCTCACCTTCCCTTTTCCGAGGAAGGGGCTCCCTCGGGGGTTGCGGGCGGCGCAGCGCGGCCGGGTTACCCTTATCAGAGATGTAAAAGGGGATTTTGGAAACCCGCTCCTCCCACCCGCACCCTCCGCCGCCTACGCTCCGCCGCCGCCTACAGGTGGAGAAGTCACCGGTGGGGAGGACGGCAGCGGAAGCTTCCAAGGCCGCCCCCTGCCTCCGAAATTCTTCACGACGCGAACCTTCGCCGCCAAGGGCCCTGGCGCCCTGGAATGCAGGGACTCAGCTGAGGCGCGGGAGCATCTCTGGCCCCGCCGGCGGGGGCTCACTCGCACCGGCTCTGGCCTCGCCTTGGACCCTCACCTTTCGGGACTGACCCAACCAAGTCTGAATTGGGCTGGAGGGTGGGGTAGCGCTGTTCCAGGACCAGGCTCACGGTGTCGCGATAGAGAGATGGTCAACTCCAGACCCGGACCAAAGGAAACTGGAGTCCCTCTTGGCTTCCTTTCCCCTTCCTCCGTGGCAGCTGCCAGGAGTGGAGATCGGAGGGGGGCGGTAGGGGGAGTGAGAAGATCAGAATTTGGGGGAGGGTTGCGGGGAGGGCCGAGGGATCCCGTCTCTCGGGACAGCGGGACCCAGACCTCCTTCTTTCCTCTGGGGTATATCCCTTCTCTGGGGTACACTGAGTCCAAGGAGGAGGCCGAAGGCAGGGGAGAGGGCATTGTTTTCCGCTTTCCTTGGTTGGGAGAGCAGCTCGCTCTCCCCCTTATCCCCTGTGCCCCCCCCCCCATCTCCTTCTCCCCCCTCCAGTCTGGCTGAAGAGCGTTCTAAGGAAACCCGGGCTGCCCTTCCCCCTCTGGAAGTGGCTGGCCCCAAAGCGGGCCGTAAACTGATTATGAAACAGACGATGTTAATTCGGAGCCGCATTTCCCAGCTGGGCACTCGCGCGCGCGCTGCTCCCGGGGGCCTCGCCCCCCCCCCCCCCCCCCCCCCCCCCCCCCACCGCGTGCTGCCCCCACCCCCCACCCCGGCCACTCCGCCTCCTCCGCAGCCGCCGGCGGCGCGATCCTCTCGCCTTTGCGCTCCTCTCGCCCATGGAATTAATTCCGGCTCCACTTGTTGCTCTGCCCAGGTCGGGGAGCGGACGAGGGTGGCAGCGGGTTCCTGAGTGAATTCCCGAGGAGGGACTCAGCGCAGCGCGAACTAGAGGGGAGCGAGGGGGTGCGGGACGTGAGCAAGCAGGAAGGAGGCAGCGCCTGGCACCGGGGTTTTGACTCAACAGCATTGAGACATGTTTGTAATCGCTGGCGTGCCCCGCGCGCAGGATCCCAGCGAAATCAGATTTCCTGGTGAGGTTGCGTGGGTGGATTAATTTGGAAAAAGAAACTGCCTATATCTTGCCATCAAAAAACTCACGGAGGAGAAGCGCAGTCAATCAGCAGTAAACTTAAGAGACCCCGGATGCTTCCGTTGTTTAAACTTGTATGCTTGAAAATTATCTGAGAGGCAATAAACATCTGCTCCTTTCTTCCCTCTCCAGAAGTCGATTGGAATATTAAGCCCAGGAGTTGCTTTGGGGACGGCTGGAAGGGCAATGTCTTCCAAGTTCTTCCTAATGGCTTTGGCCATATTTATCTCCTTCGCCCAGGTCGTAATAGAAGGCAATTCTTGGTGGTAAGTTTTTCTATGTGCATACTCTTTTATTTAAAGATTCGTTTGTATAATGCTGCAGTATTTAAAGCTGAGTCGTGAGTTTGGGTGCGTTTATCTAATACATATATATATATATATATATATATCTCTTATACAGGTATATACATACATATATATGTATCTTTAAATCAAAACATTTTTAAATTTGCTAATGCTTTGAAGCTTATCTTTAGCTCCATAGGGAATCAGAACCTATAAATTCAGACCTTTTTCTATGAGGTCCTTGTTCAGAGGTATGCTTGTAGGACATCATGTAATAAAGGGGAAGCGAAATTCACTTCTCTAATAATTGTAAGCCTATCTATAAAATTTACTTTTTGCCACCTCGAGGCAGTAAAAGTGAGTTCCAGCGTTTATTTTCTATCACTTGAGGTTATTAACCTTCGGGGTCTGAGGTAGGCAGAGTTGTAGGAAGACAGCTAACCTCCAAGTGGGTATTTGGGGCTTGAAATTTGATCAAAAGGAGGTCAACTTGAAGTAGTCGAACGTCCCTAAACGAGGCTTTCTTGCCGGCAGGGGCCTTGAAGATAGACTGCAGTATATCCAGGGGATTATTTTTGACGGCGTTCTGGATATTTTTTCGCTGTAAATGAACAGCATTTTTCTGACTGTCAAACACGACTTCTGTTCACTGGATACCCTGTCTTGGGTCTTTCACAATCACATAAGGAGCCCTTTTAAAATGTCCGGAACGGGCTGAATTTTCCTTCGGTAGGACAAGTATTCTTCAGTACACTTGTCCTACTGTTCTTCCATCAGTCAAAAGGAACTGCTATCTATCTCCTACCCGTGTCTAATTGTGTCTACTTTCGGCATTCATACATTTTTCAAGGCAGATCGGTCCAGTTTGTGGGGCAAAGTGAGTCATTTTCTTTAACGTCAGAGGCCCGTACCCCAAACTGCCACTTCCCCCTTCTCTGGTGTGGATTTCAGAATTCTGTGAAATTCTGCTTCAGGTATATGGCGGCGAGGGCCAAGGAAGGGAGTGAAAACTCTAACTGAGGAGCCAGATGGCGGGATGGGGACTACACAATACCTCTGTTTTCTGAGTGGAGTTTAAACAGAGGAGTTTTATGAAGCCCTTCTCATACTTTGTCATGAGGACAAGCAGGAGAGAAAAAGCATCTGTGTGCTTAAAACTATGTATTGCTGACATGTTTTCAGGGGGCCCACCTTGAGAGTTCACGTAAATCTTGAACGCACATCTCCCCCCCCTTTTTTAGGTCGCTAGGTATGAATAACCCTGTTCAGATGTCAGAAGTATATATCATAGGAGCACAGCCTCTGTGCAGCCAACTGGCAGGACTTTCTCAAGGACAGAAGAAACTATGCCACTTGTATCAGGACCACATGCAGTACATCGGAGAGGGCGCAAAGACAGGCATCAAAGAATGCCAGTATCAGTTCCGACACCGGAGGTGGAACTGCAGCACCGTGGATAACACCTCAGTCTTCGGCAGGGTCATGCAGATAGGTAGGAAACCATTTAATGTATTTTTAAATATGTAGAAACTTTTCTCCTAGGAGAAGTCTTTAGTGTTACTTACAAGCTTGATATGGAGGGAGTCTTCCAGCAGGCTGGTGGCTTGGGAATTTTGTCATTATGGCTGTGTGCATGCCTGTCCCCACATCTAATTATAAGTTTTGGACTTCTTGACCCAAATCAGGAGATGGGGGAGGGCATCAAAGACACCTTCATTTTTCTGCACACTTAATTTTTCTGAAAAGCATTTTGTTTAAAATAGTAGTAGCAGAACACTTATTTTGGTCTCTCGAAAGGTGAGGAGGAAAGCTGAGTCACTTTAAAGTGGCCCAAGCATCAGACTAAAAACTGTCATCTTTCAGAATGCTGGATGTGTTGGAAGTAAACAAGGTTTCAATTTTCCTAATATAGATATTTCCTAAGGCTATCAAGATAGATAGATATATGTTAAAGGCTTTATTTTTAGTCCCAGAAAGAAGTTTAATCAGATGTGATCCAATTTACATTTGCGATGTTGGCCATTGATATAAAGGCACGTGCTTCAGATCTCAGCCTAGAAACTTTAAAAAGTTTTAACGTACGGCTCACAGTCCAATGCTTTATTTTTAAATGTGTTGTTGAACTTGCTATTCCATTCAGGGAGGAGGTGGCGTTAAAACTGGGCTAAAGGCAAAGAATTTGGCACATCAGTTTGCCTCGGGTTTGGTTGAATAGCATAGGCTACAGTCTGACAGATGTGGTCCTGTCTGTGTTTTCTAGTGAATATTTTCGGTCTCTTTTTACTTTTATGCAAACAAGCCTGTGTAATTAATATGACTGCAGTGACTCCTAAAATAAGAAGCAATTTATCAAAGCAATTAACTATTTATACTGACTGAAGATAAAAAGTTGGCTTAATGTCCGTCATGGACGGATAAAACGCTTTTTTAAAAACCCTGAAAAGTGCATTCATTGAGAACAAAAAAGAGTTGTCAGTGGATGTTTGAGCCAAGCGGCTTCATAAACTAAAATAATACAGGACTGGAAGCTGTTCCTCTAATTGAATGGGAAAATGGTCTGCAGCCTCAGCCTGCAGAGTTTCATAGGGCTTTGTCCTTCCTGTTAATGATTAAAATGTGCTAATGTATGTACTGGGCTCTGACTCTAGGAGTTAAGCTTCAGGAACACCGGAGTTTTCCCCGATTATGGGCTGCCTTATGTAGTTAACTGGCAGTGTAGTGAAGATTGAATTCTGCTGCATTTTGATATTGTGAGTGACCCAAAAACTTTTTTTTTGGCTGTATCAGAATGGTGACCTGTCAGCTTTCCCCCGTCACCTTTGCCTTATATGTTCCCCCTATCTGCCTTCCTCTCACACTAAACTATGGGAGTGGCTTTTCACATGTATATGAGTTAGTGAAAATCATACACCTCCGATGGCAACAAGGAAGGAAGACAGCAGTTGGAACTGTTTGTTTTTCTGGGTAGTCACTGGAGCACAGCTTCAAGCTCCTCTTCCTGCGTAGTCTGTTTTGGGCCAACATGTTCAGAATAAGCTATCATTTGCTAAGTGGATTTGAGTTCTGCTGAAGATTTATTTAAAATGTGGTCCAAGATCCAAAGAAAGAGCCTGCTTCCTCAGGGAGCAAGCAGAACCCTTGGTACAAAGGCCTGTATTTAATTGTCCCCTGGAAGTCGACTCTCTGGTCCTCAGCTGTGTGGCACTGTCTAGGTTGAATCGAACTGGGCGGGAGTGGAACCTTGTGGCGGCCTCAGAGGAGGGAGCCCTCCTAGATCCTATTAGCAAGTCACGGAGGCCCTGGGAGCACCCTGCCCAAGGCTCCTCAGGTGTCCAAGGTCTCAGAGCAGAAAGCTACTGCTGGGTGGCTTTCGGGTGAACGCAGACAGAGCCTTTAAAAAAAAAAAGAGAGAGATGGAGAGAAGAAAAATCAGAATAGATTTTTATGGAAGAGAAACATGGACCCCACACCAATAAATAGTGGAAAAGTTACTTAGCTTTCACTTTTCTATTTAACGGTACGTTGGAGGAGAATGAGCTAAGGGAAAATTTAAAACACCTTTGATGCTAGGTGTGTGGGTGCCCCACTCCAGAGCGCTTAGTACAGCAGGGACGTGGAGGCCAGTTCTTGTCCCTGAGAACCTGACCCTGTGATGGGGCCAGTGTCTGACTCAGGCTGCCACCCCCAACCCCTTACCTCCTTTCTCAAGGCCAGTCCAGGCGCTGTACCCCGTCGCCTCATAAAGGGCCCACTCTTCATTGTGGAAACTTTCTCGTTTTTTTCATCATGCTAGCCTTTCCTTCCAGCTTTTGTCTCTGTCTCATCTTTGTCTCCATGCTGTGAAAAGATGTATAAGAAAGGCGCCATTTTTAAGGAGGGTGAGAATAGGAGTAGATGCAGATTTCACAGGGAGGGAGCTGTAACTGGACCAGCAGTGCTCCATCCAGGATGACTGTATCCACAGGCTTTAGCCAAAGAGCACTTTCCAAGCTGACGTTTCCCTGCAATGACCAGTTAGCTTAGAGGTTTCTACCAGGTTTGTGTTCTGGGGCAAAAAAAGGATACGTTCAAGATAGACTTATGAAAATAGCAGCATTATTGTGTTTTTACGTAAAAGCCCTTTTGTGCCCTATATATACAGGAGTGGTTTATTTTCTCTGTCTCCAGAGGATTGTTTTTCTCTCTCTTCCTCAGACTACGTCTTTATTCTACAAGTCTCCCGTCCAGGGACACAGCATTTTCTATATTATCAGCGTTAATCCTCAAATCACTCCCTAGAATCTGTCTGCTCTCCTCATTTCTCTCCACTCCCTTGCTGTTCTCTGCCTTGCCAATTCAGGCTAGGTAGATGTAACACCCCCCCCCCCCCCCCCCCCCCCCCCCAACAGGAACTTTCTGGATCCTCCTGTCAACCACCGGTACAGTCCTCAAGTTATTCATTTTTTAAAATGTGGGAGGGAAGCTCTGGTAAATCAGAACCATCACTATTCCTGGAAGGGAGATCACAAATGGCTGTGGATTGAAGTGTGGAGCAGAAGTCCAAGAAAAGGGCAGCCTGGGGGACACTTGCCTGGGCAGAGCCGTCCTCCCGCGGGATGGGCCTTGTGGTGGGGGCTGAGTCCTGTTGTCAGCTGTTCTTGTGCTCTCCCCCACTGTGCACCCCCCCGCAAAAGAAAAAGATTGTTAGCAAGCTCTTAAGTATAGGAGCAACCGTTTCCAGTAAAGAGATTCTAGTGCCAGAAGGGGCCCTTTTTTTCCCTAGGCATCTAGTTCAATACCCTTAATTCTATAGTTGAGGAAAATAAGGACCCCCCTCATCTTGCCCCCGCTTCCACCCCTCCACCCCAGGTCCAGCTTCAGCTGGCCGGGTGTTAACCCTTTCTCTCTCATAGGACAATACTTTAAGTGACTTCTTGTTACATGTAGAAATGTCTCCACATGCAAGTGGAGATGGAGGTGGTCTATGGTTACCTCTTTTTTTGTCCTTACACATAGGGCTCCTGTAGAACCGTTTGACAGGGAGATGCTCTTTACAAGTTCTAGGGAAGGAGAGAACTTCTTTTCTCTAGGCCTGTATATTCTTTACAAGTTTGGGGAAGAAGAACCTTTTTATTTTTTTCCTCCTTTTTGCTGTTATCCTAACACTTGGAGTCAGAGGCTGCTGGGGAGCTGCAGAAGTGACACGAAGGAACCGTGGGCTGTTTTAAAAGTAGACACTCACCTACGTGAGTGAGAAGTGTCAGCCCGGTCAGCTTGGGGTTTGAGAAGAGGCGAGTTTGATTTAAAACTCTCTAGGGACCAGTTTAGAAACGTCCTCTGGGAAAGTCAGGAGCCTTGTTCTGAGACAGGCTAGATGCTGTGGATGGAGGATGGGAAAGACGGGTTTCAACCACCGAGGCCGCAGGGAGTGGGGAGGGGCTGCTGCAGGGGCTCTAAGCCTTGCAGCTCCCAGGCTCCTGCCCTGTAGGTAACTCAGAATGAAAATAATACCAAACATTAAAATAAGTGTAAGGAAGTCTACCCCAAGTCTACGTTTCCCTCAGTGACTTCTTTCATGGGCATTTTGGAAAATAAGTTTGGAATATTTTCCTAAGAGGTGTAGAGAAAACTCAGGCCAGCACTGCTTAGAATCCTGCCTTGGGCTCTTAAGTGTCAGAGCAGAGGTACCAGGGATGCTACTCCTTTGTCATGTGTCGCGTCTACGTGTGTGGGGGGAATGTCTCCCGCCTTCCCCCTGGGGGGGGGGGCGCGGAGGCTCAGGGCCTCCTTGTTCCCCAGCCAGGAGCGGGGGCTCGGCGGTGTGCCAGCCGGTCCCCCGCCACCCGCCCTCTGCGGCACTGCCCCGGCCGGGGCTGCGGAGCGCGGGGCGCCCACTCACCCGTCCTCGCCCGCAGGCAGCCGCGAGACGGCCTTCACGTACGCCGTGAGCGCCGCGGGGGTGGTCAACGCCATGAGCCGCGCCTGCCGCGAGGGCGAGCTGTCCACCTGTGGCTGCAGCCGCGCCGCGCGCCCCAAGGACCTGCCGCGGGACTGGCTGTGGGGCGGCTGCGGCGACAACATCGACTACGGCTACCGCTTCGCCAAGGAGTTCGTGGACGCGCGCGAGCGGGAGCGCATCCACGCCAAGGGCTCCTATGAGAGCGCGCGCATCCTCATGAACCTGCACAACAACGAGGCCGGCCGCAGGGTGAGCATCCCCGCCGCCGCCGCGTCCCTCCTGGGGGCGGGCGGTGCTGTGCTCCACTCTCCGTTTCTCTCTCTGTCTCTGCGTCTGGGTCTCCCTCTCTTCCCGTCTCTGCCTCCCGTCCTAGCTTTGCCGGTCTCTCCCCGCCTCTCACTGCTGCTCTCTTTCCACTCTCCCCCCACCCCCTCCCCAAGCAGCTACACACAGGCCTCCCTGGAGAGGGGTGGACACCCCAGAAAGGCCTCCTGGAGGGGAAGCATCCCGCCTTGGCCCCCTCCAGCCAAGGTGCTCCCGACCTGGCCTGAGAAAGAGCTTTCTTTGCCTTTGTAGTTGGTCCACAGTAGGGCTGGCCAGGCCAGCTCACCTATAAAAATGTTCCTGACGTTCGCTGCCCTCCGCCCGGGATCAAGTTTGTGGCTGGGCTTAAATGGAGGACAGGGGAGTTACTTATGCCAGTAGGTGCCCAGCTCATAAGGCCCTCACCCAAGCTTCCAGGGTTACTTACCTTCCCCGCTGCTTTCTTCGTGCCCCTCCTCGTGTCATTAGATAGCAGGCATGATGGATTCAGGGTTTTTCAGATACACAAGTTCTACCAAAACGAGGAGCATTTTTATCAGACTTGAGTTTTATATAGGTCTGACCAACAGGCCCATCGAGGTGCTCTGGAGAGGGGAGAGCCACTCAGAGGTGTGCAGAGAGATGCTCTGGAGACGTGAGAGAGTGACTCAGAAGTGTGCAGAGAGATGCTCTGGAGAGGAACAGCCACTCAGAAGTGTGCAGAGATGCTCTGGAGACGGGAGAGAGCCACTCAGAAGTGTGCAGAGAGATGCTCTGGAGAGGGGTGAGCCACTCAGAAGTGTGCACAGAGGGCTTCCCTGGAGGCGCAGTTGTTGAGAGTCCGCCTGCTGATGCAGGGGACGTGGGTTCGTGCCCCGGTCCGGGAAGATCCCACATGCCACGGAGCGGCTGGGCCCGTGAGCCATGGCCACTGAGCCTGCGCGTCTGGAGCCTGTGCTCCGCAATGGGAGAGGCCACAACAGTGAGAGGCCCGCGTAGCGCAAAAAAAGAAGAAAAAAAAAGGCTGTAGAGAGATGCTCTGGAGAGGGGAGAGCCACTCAGAAGTGTGAAGAGAGATGCTCTTGAGAGGAGAGAGACACTCAGAAATGTGCAGAGAGGGCTTTGGAGAAGGGAGAGAGCCGCTCAGAGGTGTGCAGCGAGATGTTCTGGAGAGGGGAGAGAGCCTCTGAGTTTGTGCAAATACGTGCTCTGTAGAGGAGACAGCCACTCAGACGTGTGCAGAGAGATGCTCTGGAGAGGGGAGAGCCACTCCGAGGGGTGCATAGAGATCCTCTGGAGAGGGGACAGCCACTAACACGTGTGCAGACATATGCTCTGGAGAGGGGAGAGCCACTGAGTAGTGTGCAAAGACGTGATCTGCAGAGGGGACAGACACTCAGAAGTGTGCAGAGAGATGCTCTGGAGAGGGGAGACAGCCAGTCAGAAGTGTGCAGAGAGATGCCCTGGAGAGGGGAGACCCGTGAAGAAGTGTGCAGAGAGGTACTCTGGGAAGGGAGAGAGCCACTGAGTAGTGTGCAAAGACGTGCTCTGGAGAGAGGACAGCCACTCAGAAGTGTGCAGAGAGATGGTCTGGAGAGGGGAGAGAGCCACTCAGAAGTGTGCAGAGAGTTGCTCTTGAGAAGGGAGAGCCACTCAAAGTGTGCAGAGAGGTGCTCTGGAGAGGGAAGAGGCACTCAGAAGTGTGCGGAGAGAAGCTCAGGAGAGGGGAGAGCCGCTCAGAGGTATGCAGCGAGATGCTGTGCAAAGGGGAGATAGCCTCTCCGAGGTGTGCAGAGATGTGCTCTGGAGAGGGGAGAGAGCCACTCCAAAGTGTGCACAGAGGTTCTCTGGAGAGTGGAGAAACCCACTGAGTAGTGTGCAAAGACGTGCTGTGGAGAGAGGACAGCCACTCAGAAGTGTGCAGAGTGATGCTCTGGAGAGGGGAGAGCCACTCACGAGTGTGCAGAGAGATGTTCTGGAGAGGGGGAGAGGTACTCAGAAGTGTGCAGAGAGATGCTCTGGAGAGAGGATAGAGCCACTCTGAAGTGTGCACAGAGGTTCTCTGAAGAGGAGAGAGAGCCACTGAGTAGTGTTCAAAGATGTGCTCTGGAGAGGGTAGAGCAGTTCAGAAGTGTGCAGGGAGATGCGCTGGAGAGGGGAGCGCCACTAAGAAGTGTGCAGATAAATGCTCTGGAGAGGGTAGAGCCACTCAGAAGTGTGCACAGAGTTGCTCTAAAAAAGGGAGAGAGTCACTCAGAAGTGTGCACAGAGATGCTCTGGAGAGGGGAGAGAGCCACTCACAAGTGTGCAAAGACATGCTGGGGAGAGAGGACAGCCACTCAGAAGTGTGCAGAGAGATGCTCTGGAGAGGGGAGAGAGCCACTCCAAAGTGTGCACAGAGGTTCTCTGGAGAGTGGAGACACCCACTGAGTAGTGTGCAAAGACGTGCTATGAAGAGAGGACAGCCACTCGGAAGTGTGCAGGGGCATGCTCTGGAGAGGGGAGAGCCACAAGTGTGCAGAGAGATGTTCTGGAGAGGGGAGAGGTACACAGAAGTGTGCACAGTGATGCTGTTGAGAGGGGAGAGGTACTCAGAAGTGTGCAGAGTGATTCTCTGGAGAGGGGAGAGGCACTAAGAAGTGTGCAGAGAGGTGCTCTGGGGAGGGGAGAGAGCCACTCTAGTGTGCACAGTTCTCTGGAGAGGGGAGAGAGCCACTGAGTAGTGTTCAAAGACGTGCTCTGGAGAGGGGAGAGCTATTCAGAAGTGTGCAGAGAGATGCGCTGGAGAGGGGAGAGAGCCACTCAGAAGTGTGCAGAGAGAGGCTCTGGAGAGGGGAGATAGCCTCTCCGAGGTCTGCAGGGAGATCCTCTGGAGAGGGGAGAGCCACGAACACGTGTACAGAGAGATGCTCTGGAGAGGGGAGAGCCACTCAGAAGTGTCCGGAGAGATGCTCTGGAGAGGGGAGAGAGCCACTCCAAAGTGTGCGCAGAGGTTCTCTGGAGAGTGGAGAGACCCACTGAGTAGTGTGCAAAGACGTGCTATGGAGAGAGGACAGCCACTCAGAAGTGTGCAGAGTGATGCTCTGGAGAGGGGAGAGCCACTCAGAAGTGTGCAGAGAGGTGCTCTGGAGAGGGGAGAGAGCCCCTCAGAATTGTCCGCAGAGATGCTCTGGAAAGGGGAGAGCGCCACTCAAAAGTGAGGAGAGAGGTGCTCTGGAGAGGGAGAGAGCCCCTCAGAAGTGTCCGGAGAGATGATCTGGAAAGGGGAGAGAGCCACTCAGAAGTGTGGAGAGAGGTGCTCTGGAGAGGGAGAGAGCCCCTCAGAAGTGTCCGGAGAGATGATCTGGAAAGGGGAGAGAGCCACTCAGAAGTGTGCAGAGAGATGCGCTGGAGAGGGGACAGCCGCTCAGAAGTGTGCAGAGAAATGCTCTTAAGAGGGGAGAGCCACTCGGAAGTGTGTAGAGAGATGCTGTGCAGAGGGGAGAGGCACTAGGAAGTGTGCAGAGAGATTCTCTGGAGAAGGGAGAGAGCTACTCAGAAGTGTGCGGACAGGTGCTCTGGAGAGGGGAGAGGTACTCAGAAGTGTGCAGAGAGTTGCCCTTGAGAGAGGAGAGCCACTCAGAAGTGTGCAGAGAGATGCTCTGGAAAGGGGAGACAGCCACTCAGAGGTGTGCAGAGAGACTTTCTGGAGAGGCGAGAGAGCCACTGAGTAGTGTGCAAAGACGAGCTCTGGAGAAGGGACAGCCACTCAGAAGTGTGCAGAGAGATGCTCTGGAAGGAGGAGAGGGCCACTGAGAAGTGTGCAGAGAGGTGGTCTGGAGGGGTGACAGAGCCACTGAGCAGTGTGCAAAGTCCTGCTCTGGAGAGGTGACAGCCACTCAGAAGTGTGCACAGAGATGCTCTGGAGACGGGTGAGCCACTTGACCTGTGCAGAGCGATGATCTGGAGAGGGGAGAGCCACTCAGAGGTGTGCAGAGAGATGCTCTGGAGAGGGGAGAGAGCCACTCAGAAGTGAACAGAGACATGCTGTTGAGAGGGGAGTGCCCCTCAGAAGTGTGCAGAGAGATGCTCTGGAGAGGGGTGAGCCACTCAGAATTGTGCAGAGCGGGCTTACCTGGTGGCACAGTGGTTGAGAGTCTGCCTGCTGATGTAGGGGACACGGGTTCGTGCCCCGGTCTGGGAAGATTCCACATGCCGCGGAGCGACTGGGCCCGTGAGCCATGGCCGCTGAGCCTGCGTGTCCTGAGTCTGTGCTCCACAACGGGAGAGGCCGCGATAGTGAGAGGCCCGCGTACCACAAAACAACAAAAAACAAAACGAAAACAACTGCAAAAAAAATGAAGTGTGGACAGAGATGCTCTGGAGAGGGGAGAGAGCCACTCAGAGGTGCAGAGAGATGCTCTGGAGAGGGGAGAGAGCCACTCAGAGGTGCAGAGAGATGCTCTGGAGAGGGGAGAGAGCCACTCAGAAGTGTGCAGAGAGGTGCGTTGCAGAGAGATGCTCTGGAGAGGGGAGAGAGGCCCTCAGATGTGTGCAGATAGGTGCTCTGGAGAGGGGTGAGCCACTCAGAAGGGTGCAGAGAGGGCTTCCCTGGTGGTGCAGTGGTTGAGAGTCCGCCTGCCGATGCAGGGGACACGGGTTTGTGCCCCGGTCCGGGAAGATCCCGCATGCCGCGGAGCGGCTGGGCCCGTGAGCCATGGCCGCTGAGCCTGCGCGTCCAGAGCCTGTGCTCCGCAACGGGAGAGGCCGCAACAGTGAGAGGCCCGCGTACCGCAAAAAACTAAAACAAAACAATAAAACGAAACAAAAACAACACCAAAAAAATGAAGTGTGGACAGAGATGCTCTGGAGAGGGGAGAGCACCACTCAGAAGTGTGCAGAGAGATGTGCTGGAGAGGGGAGCGCCACTCAGAAGTGTGCAGAGATGGCTCACCTGGTGGCGCAGTGGTGGAGAGTCTGCCTTCCGATGCAGGGGACACGGGTTCGTGCCCAGGTCCTGGAAGATCCCACATGCCGCGGAGCGGCTGGGCCCATGAGCCATGGCCGCTGAGCCTTTGCATCCAGAGCCCATGCTCCGCAACGGGAGAGGGTACAACAGTGAGAGGCCCGCGTAGCACAAAAAAAGAAAAAAAAAATAAGTGTGCAGAGAGATGCTCTGGAGAGGGCAGTACCACTCAGAATTGTGCAGAGAGATGCTCTGGAAAGGTGAGAGAGCCACTGAGAAATTTGCAGAGAGGTGCTCTGGAGAGGGGAGAGAGCCACTGGGTAGTGTGCAAAGACGTGCTCTGGAGAGGGGACAGCCACTCAGAAGTGTGCAGAGAGATGCTCTGGAGAGGGCAGAGAGCCACTCAGAGGTGTGCAGAGACATGCTCTGGAGAGGGCAGAGAGCCACTCAGAGGTGTGCAGAGAGATGCTCTGGGGAGGGGAGAGAGCCACTCAGTAGTGTGCAGAGAGAGGAAATCCTCGCCAGGTAGCCCCAGTCTCCCGGTTTCATTCTTTCCTTCCCCTGATGCGGATGTGAAAGGCTCGCCCACAGTCGTTAAAAAAGACCCTTTTTTCCTGTGGTTAAACACGTGGCACTTTATGGCTGCTTTGTAATGAAGGGGTGAAAACTTTTCCTAACTTTGGCAGCACTGAAAACCAGAGCCATTATTTTTCCACAGAACCCAAGGTAAATGCCAGGAACTTTCTGGTCAGAGATTTCAGTCTTCTGTATTTTGGGGTGAGGAAAAGGGACGATAATCACAGAGTGAAGCTAGAGGCCTGGAAGGAGCCTTTGGGCCCCTCATCCACACCCCCTCATTTAAAAACTGGGAAACTGAGGCTGGAGAACCACTTCAAGCCCGTGGGGAGAATTAGTGGATTGACCTGTAAGCCCAGGCGCTTTTCTTTTTTAATGAAACTAATGCGTCACAGCTCGAGGGTAAAGGGCCATAGTTTTGGGGATTGAAGAAATCTAGGTTAAAATCCCTTTCTGTCTGTTCGTTTCTGAGCCTCCGTTTCCCCATTTGCACATCTGTTAAATGGGCGTTAGCTATCACTTGGGGTTGCTGTAGGACTCACTGGCATCACATAGTAGATTGTACCTTATTACCAATACTTCACCATTTCTGACATCCAATTTCATAAGGTTCAATTGAAGGGCTGAGGTAAGTGCTTGATAAATGATAGCTTAGTTACTGGAAGCAAAGGACTTCGGGAAGCCAAAGATTATCTAGATCATTCCAGCTAACCCATTTCTTCTCAAGTTTGATCTTAACTATTTGGGGGGGGGGGCGGTTCTCAGGGAAAGACTAAACTCTGGAGAATTTCACCTGTGGTGCCTCGAGGGGCCAGGTAGTTGCTCCAGGTGAGTGCGGCCCCTCCTTTCCGAGGCCGCCCGTTGCCGTGGTGCTGGCAGTGTGCGTGGACTCACGCCCCACGGCAGCCGACCCGCGCCATGGAGTGGGCATGCCAGTCCCGCTCTCTCTGGGGCCCTAGGACTTTGGTCTTGCCCTCATCAGGGACACATCACCTTACGCTGCATGCCGGGTGCCCAGCTTCTCAGACCAGAAACGCTTCCAGGACAGGTATGGCTGACCCTTCTGTGCCCCACTTTGCCCCTGTTTGGTGCTTTCATCCATCTTTGTGGATTTCTTCGACTTCCCTCACGGAGAGATCCTTAGGGGCTTACAGCAACCAAGAAGAGAAGGTCAAGGGATTTCCAGGTGGAGAGAGGGGATTTTGGAGAGTGGGAAAAGCCCCTTCAATAGAATTTCAGTTAACATTTGGATTTTTAACTAGGGGGAGTGTTTTTGGAAATTTTATAATTGGAGCAATGAACTGTGCTTGGATTCTGGTGGGTGAGATTACTGGGAAGACAGTTTTTCTGCGGGGTAGTGGGGGTGGGAGGAGGAAAGTTAGACACCGTACCAGGAAATCATATTAGAATCTCCTTGGGGCATTAGCTTTTGATTTTCCTCAAAGGGGAGCGAAGGTTACACAGAAGGGTTTGCAAAACCCTTCTGCAGACTAGCGGGACTGAAACACTTCATATCAAGGGAGTACACTTCAGCTCCCCTTGTAAGAAAGCCCCTTATGCATCCCTGGAGGGAGAAGGTAGCTGTTCTGGGCGAAGCAGCCTTCTAACTCACTCTGGCCCTCCAGGTTCCTGACAGGCGCTGTGCAGCGTACCAGCGGCACGCCGGCTCTGGAGGGTCACTGGCACAGGAACTGTGGGCAGTCGGCACTATAAATAGGCAGCCGCCACCTCCCAGACTGCTGGGCACACAGCACCGTGAGGCCAGACCCATAGGTGCTGCTACTGCGAGGCCAGGGTGACTGGGCAAGGGCCCAGGACCAGCGTCCAGACGGTCACCCTGCAGACCAGGTTTACTGATTGCATCCTGCCTGCTAAGTACTTTCATGCATCTCCTGATCTTATCCTTGCAACCGTGCTGTGAGGTTGCAACCATCACAGTGCCCTTCCCAAATTGAAAACGGAGGCTCAGAATGGTGAAGCCTGTTGCCTAAATTCAGGGACAGATTAGGACAGAACCCAGGTCTGCCTGGGCCCAAGATGGATGCTTTTCGCCTAGGCAGGGGCAGATAGGGAGTAGGGAGTGTGCGAGAAGCAGGAGTGAGGGTACCTGAGATCCACGCCCGGTTCTCCCACATTCTAGCTGTGCGACCTGTGCGGGCCACTTACCCTCTGTCTGTGTCACTGCCATCATCTAATCCAGGCCACGTTACAACCTCGCTGGGGGCATTAAGTGAGATGAAGAGTGTAAAGGCTCTTACGATAGTGCCTGCCACACAGCAGTCGTGATAGTAAGAGTGAGGAAAGATTTGAACCCTGATCCTACCTGGGCTGGACACCTGCCCAGCCCTGCCACTTACCAGCTGGGTGCCCAGGGCCAAGTCATGAGCATGAGCTTGGAGCCCACCTGCCTGGGTTCAAATCCTGCCCCCCGCCCCCGCCCCCGCTCCTTCCCAGTGGTTGGGTCAGTAAGTCACCTTGCTGGGTCTCGCTTCCCTTCTCTGTGAGATGCAGATGATAGAGCTCTTCCCTCGTGGGCTGGTGGTGAGGATGAATCCAGGTGACGCAGGTGAGGAACTGATAGCAGCTCTGGGCTGAGTGTTCAAGATGTATGAGTTGCTGCCAATGTTCTTCCCTGCAAAAAAAAAAAAAAAAAAAAAAAGAGACAAATGGAACCAATTTTTTCCCCGCTCCCATTCAAACACTGTGGTTGTTTATTATGATGATGTGTAATAATGAGGGGCTAAGAGGCTATTTATTTTGCAGACTTTTTAAAGAAGGCAACACAAGGCTCCTGGTCATGGAGGACGAGGGGGAAGTAGCCCAGGCCCAGGTTGAGCTGGTGACCAGGGCTCCACCCAGCCGGGGAGCTCGCTCACCCGACCCCCGCCCGAGTCTGGGCTCCCGGGTGAGTTCGCCCGCTGACTGTCCCCTTCTCCCCACAGACGGTGTACAACCTGGCGGACGTGGCCTGCAAGTGCCACGGGGTGTCAGGCTCGTGCAGCCTCAAGACGTGCTGGCTGCAGTTGGCCGACTTCCGCAAGGTGGGCGACGCCCTGAAGGAGAAGTACGACAGCGCAGCGGCCATGAGGCTCAACAGCCGGGGCAAGCTGGTGCAGGTCAACAGCCGCTTCAACTCGCCCACCACGCAGGACCTGGTCTACATCGACCCCAGCCCCGACTACTGCGTGCGCAACGAGAGCACCGGCTCGCTGGGCACACAGGGCCGCCTGTGCAACAAGACGTCCGAGGGCATGGACGGCTGCGAGCTCATGTGCTGCGGCCGTGGCTACGACCAGTTTAAGACGGTGCAGACCGAGCGCTGCCACTGCAAGTTCCACTGGTGCTGCTACGTCAAGTGCAAGAAGTGCACAGAGATCGTGGACCAGTTCGTGTGCAAGTAGTGGGCACCCCGCCGCCCGCCTGTCACCCAGCCCCACTCCCAGGACCCACTTATTTATAGAAAGTACAGTGATTCCGTTGTTGTTGTTGTCTTTAATACTGTTTATTTTTTGTCCCCAAGAATTGCAACCGGAACCATTTTTTTTTTTTCTGTTCCCATCTGAGAACTCTGTGGTTTATTATTAATATTATAATTATTATTTGGCAAAAACGGGGGGTGGGAACCAAGAAAATATTTATTTTGTGGATCATTGAAAAGTAAGACAAGACTTCTTTTGCTGGTATATAGGATGAGGGGGGAATAACGCACACCTTAAGTTAGATGTGTGCACATCTGGAAGGTCAAGGAAACACTGTTTTCTTTGTCTCAACTATGGGGTCATATGGGACAGGTAGCGTCCAGCTGCAAGAGGGTGGTACAGATCTATGCGTGACTTAGCTCCTGTGACTAAAAGGAATTCGGTGCTCTGGTGAAAGTTGAAAGGTCTTGAGAAAAAAACAAAACAATGAGACCCACACCCCCCCCCCCGCCCCTTTCCCAGGGGCTGCCAGCCTGAAACATTTCCAAAATGGTATTTAAAGTCTAAGAGCAAAAATCTCATATCCCTTAAAGAAAAAAGGTTTATCACGTGTCGCACTGTTCTCAAACATTCCATCTACAGATGGTCCGTTCTACTAGCTACTGAAACTTGGGGAGCAGGGAGGGAAGCCCCAGAAATTAAAAAAAAAAGAGAAAACTTAAAAACTCCTTATATTAAGTCAGTGATTTGACGCTGTTGTGGGAATTAGGTTATCCACTTGGAAAAGGATCCCCGAGCGATTCTGGGTACTAGACTTTTTGTTTGGAGAAGGGCAAGGGAGGTTGACTTGACTGTAAAGGAAAATATACTGTAATTTTCTTAGGGATACTTGGTTAATAAATGATAACAATGAAACTAATAAATGAATTCCATTCACAGATCCTCAGGCCGAGCTACAAGGTAATTGCCTGCAGTTCAGCACTGCACCAGAGCAGAAAACCTATTTGAGGGGGAAACGTGACATCCGCCCTCCCTACTTGACCCCGCGCCCTGTCCGATTCCTCCATGCCTTGCTGCGCTGTGACGCCGGCCACGTTTCCAAACGGCAGCTCCACTGCGTCCCCTCTGATAGTAGGACAGGAAATGAAACAGAGGAGCTCCGCTTGGGAGACAGTTTGCTACTTAGGGATTTTGGTTTTCCCCTATAACTTTTACTTTGAGGAGCAGTAGTTTTCTATGTTTTAATGACATTACTTGGCAAATGGACTTCACAGAGGTGTGGCAGCGTTTCCCTGTTATGATCCTGTGTTTAGACTCTCCACTCATGCTTTCCTATTACCCTGCAGGTGTACCCCAGAACTGTTCCTAGAGGACTTGAACAGTTGCATTTATAAGGGGGGAAATGTGGTTTAATGGTGCCTGATATCTCAGTCTCTTGTACATAACATACATATATATATATATATATATATATATACACACATATATATATATAAATATAGATATAATTATATCTCAGTGCAGCCAGTGATTTAGATTTACAGTTTACTCGGGTCTAGAGCCTTGTCGTCCTCCATTGCAATCCAATTGGGATTTTTGCAGACGGTTTCTGAGTTGAGCTGGGGCTGTGGCCTCCATGCCATCACGCCCTGAGCATCACGGAGCAGCCTTGTTTCTGAGGAATCCGGAAGGTCTCATACTCATGTGCATTGTTGGTTTGAAGATTTCTTTTATCTTCCCCGCCCCATCCTCCTTTTCTGTACCCTTTCTGGAGAGGGCATTACTTATTCATCACAGACGTGGGAATGAAGAGATAATTCAACACTCAGAAGCATTGTCGGCATTTCCCTTTCCTTCATGCGTTTTGCAGAGTGGAAACTGGTGCCCATTAGACCTGATAGTACCTATTTGAGTCCCTGAGGAAAATCCAGCTCACAACATATATGGCTAGTTTAAAAAGTTTTTTAAACCAGGACACCTCTTTGCAAAGAGTACCGTCAAATGTGTTCTTATCTCAGACTTCTGTTGCTTTAAAAGTTGGGAAAGATACACATCTCCTGCAGCCCTCGTGGGAACGGGTGGCCCTCAGATCACCTCAGCCACCTGCGGCTCTTGTTGCACAAGGATGTTCACTCCCCTGCAGTTGCAGTGAATTGCAAGCAAAAGATCTTGAAAGTAAGAAGCACTAATTAGCTTAAAATGTCACTTTTTTGGTTTTTATTATACAAAAACCGTGAAGTAAGTTCTTTTTATTTGCTAAACCAGATTTTGTTCCTTTTTAGTGATTCCTGTTTATGAAGAGAGTTGAGTTTAACAATCCTAGTTTTTAAAGGAAACTATTTAATGTAAAATATTCTACTTGTCATTCAGATATTATGTATATCTTCTATGGCCTTTATTCTATACTTTTCATGTACATATTTCTGTCTCGTGCGATTTGTATATTTCACTGGTTCAGAAAACAAACAAACATCGAAAGGCTTATGCCAAATGGAAGATAGAATATAAAATAAAACGTTACTTGGATATTGGTAAGTGGTTTCAATTGTCCTTCAGATACTTCATGTGGAGAGTTTTTGAGAAAACATGAGGGATAGTTTAGGGGTGACTACATGTCAGAATAACAGAAGAGTGGAGAATTTTACCAAAACCAAACTATTTGGGAGCTTCAAAAGATTTCTATATGTAACGGAACAAAAGGGGAATTCTCTTTTCCTATATATGTTCCTCAAAAAAAAGAAATCAAGCAGATGGCTTAAAGCTGGTTATAGGATTGCTCACATTCTTCGAGCATTAGGCATGTAACTTAATTGTTTTAGAGCTTGTTGGTGTTGTAACATCTCAGAGCTAAGAACTGAAAAGGCACATGCTTTTATCCATGACCAGAAGTTTAGTCCAAAAAAAAGTGTATTTGTGTTCACCACTGCAGCTAGCGCACTGCTCTAGTTCGAAGTTACTGTGTGGATGGAGTGTCTCTTTGCCCCTTGGAAAGCAGGTTTATGAAAAGCAAGCCTCAGTCTGCAGAGAATGAAGGAAACTGAAGGTTCGTTGTGTTAAGTGCAATTAATACAAGCCCTGTGCTTCTTGAAAACGCGCAGCGAAGCCTGGCCCGCAACGCACAGATTGATACGTTAGCCCTTTGCTTTTTCTCTTTCCGGATAACCTTGTAACATATTGAAACCTTTTAAGGATGCCAAGAATGCATTATTCCACAAAAAAACAGTAGACCAACATATAGAGTGTTTAAAATAGCATTTCTGGGCAAATTCAAACGCTTGTGGTTCTAGGACTCACATCTGTTTCAGTTTTTCCTCAGTTGTATATTGACCAGTGTTCTTTATTGCAAAAACATATACGCGATTTAGGAGCGTCAGCATATTTTTTTTCCTTCTCATCCTGGAGTGCATTCAAGAGCTTCCCAATACAGGAAAATTAACAAAAAAATTATATACAGGCAGCGACAAACAGAGCTATGTTCAAAATAGTAATTATGGACTTAAGTACCAGGAAGACTGTTTTAAGCTTTAGTCCAGTGTATCTGTTCAGTTTTTCAAGCTGCTGACCTCCCGAGACCGGCACTGTGTTTCAGTAGCCCATGCAAACCCTTTGCTTGTACGATTTGCCAATACAATTTTCAATTTGTTTTTGCAAGACCTTGTTCAAGCCACCAGAAGTATCAAAGATGACACTGTAGCAGGATAAGTACTCCAAATAAGAGAGTCACTGGCTGACTCACAGAGATCGTTAGCAGAAACAGTCCCCAAAGACTGAGTGACCCGTAATTTAAATAGAGACAACTAGAAAAGGTACTGATAACTTGAAGGGTATATATGATGCAAATACGCACCAAGACGTAGGTCTAAGATACTGCATTATCACTGTAAAGTGTACTTCTAAAATATTTATTTTTTTAAGAAAGTATTTGTTAGTCTCCCCTCTCTGTGGAATGGTGAAAGCCAGATGCCATACTTTGAAAGTAAGATGATGAAACGCATTCTTAATACAGGAAACATTCAGCAACGTAGGAATTAAAACTTAGTAAAGGAATCTTCTAATTTACCTGTTCGCACAGACCTTACATTTAACTCTGATGACTGGATAATATTTTATGTTAGTAAAACATCATCTTGTTAGCCAACTTTTAAAAATGGATGTGGAATGATTAAAGGTCGGTACGATTTTTTTTTTTAAAACCAAAAATGTATCAATTTTAATCTAGAAGATTTAATTAACATTCTGTCTCAGTATTTCAAAAGCAAAAAAGGAATAAGGAAAATTGCATGCAAAAGACCAATTTTACAAGCAGTGTACCATTTGCTGGGCTAGAAATAGATAAAGATTATTTATTTTTGTTCATATCTTGTACTACTTTTCTATTAAAGTCATTTTATAAAATCAGTGCGGTCACGTGTATGTTTGGCAGAGATGGTGTCCGTGGCAGTTGAAATTTGATGTGGGCCTAGAGTGTGATTATGGCTTAGCGAATCCAGGAAAAAATGCCCATTTCAGGCATGTAGATGATACTGTGGTCAAATCTCAAGGATCTATTGTGTATTTTAATGCTTATCTTTTTTTGCCTGTAGCTGTTTTTCTCCCCATTTCTTATTTGTTCTGCTGCTAATATATGAGAGTTGTGTTGGGAGATTACTATTCAGTGCAGGCATTTAGCACAGCGACATGGGATTGTGAAGAAATACCAGGGCAAGAGAAGAAAGAGTGATTTGAGGAGAGAAAAAAAAATGTCCTAGGTAAACAGCCTGAATCACCTGGAATATTCTCTGCTGGTTCCCTTTTGGAAATTGCCACGGTTGCCAGCCAGGTGTTTAGATCAGGTTTCTCTACCTCAGCACTTTTGGCTTCTCAGGCTGGAGAATTCTTTATTGTGGGGGGCTGTCCTGTGCAATGTTTAGCAGCATCACTAGCCTCTACCCACTAGATGCCAGTAGCTCCCCCATTTGTGACAAGCAAAAGTGTCTCTAGACACTGCACAGTGTACCCCAGGGTGCAGAATCAACCCCAGGTGAGACGCACAGCTCTAGATGGAGGAACTGAGGTTCTGAGCACTTGGGGAACGCAGGCTGACCACGGTGGTGGACTGGTGCTTGCCTGGGGTGACCAATGAACCTGAGAGGTCCCTTGCAAGCTTTCCCATGTAGAGTGTGGAGCTGCAGCAGCCTTCACAGGGCAGCCTGGCTCAGTGATGAAGAATATAGGCTCTATAGACCGCCTGTGTTCAAATACTGGTATTGCCCTTAGCTCTGTCGCCTTGGGAAAGCTGTATAACCTCTCTGAGCACCCAGTTAAAGTGGGAGAGAGTATTACACTGTAGGTTCTTGTAAACATGAGTTACCGTGTTTGGACTGTTGAGCGCAGGTTCGAGTACATAGGAAGAGCTCACTATAGGCTAGCTAAGAAGGATGAAGTAAGTCTGAAGACTAAACCCAGGAAGGTGGGCCAGTGTTCTTTAAAATACCCCCCAGCGGCTAGCTCGGTGCTAGGAAGGCCCCCTTAGTGTTTGGGGGAGGTTACAAACCGTGGCCCTCTGTGTATATAACATTTCCAGATGTGTTTTGTTTGACTGGCAAGCGTTAAAAAGATGCTCAAATTAATTGGCAGCACTTAAAAAGATGAGTATTTTCACATTCAAATTGGGATTTCTTGCTTCAAAACAGGAAGAACTGGCCACCTGAGTACATGGTATCACAGGTCCCCTGTAGCGACACTCAGCTGGATCCCAGCAGCCACTGCGCCTTCCAGACAAGGCCGGCTGTGTCCAGTTAGCCAGCCATTTATGCCACCTAACGGACCCCTGCAGACTCACGCACTTGCCATGGTTGTCACAAGTGTCTTACCTCTAACTCAGAGTTTCTCAACCTCACCCTGACTGACATTTTGGGCCAAATAATTGTGAGGGGCTATTGTGTGCATCAGACCCTCAGAGGGGCTTACCACGTGCCTCTTGCCTCAGAGACCCTGACCAGAGCCGCTCACACCGGTGGTGACCCCTTGATGCCGATGCCGCCAACACCGTACTAGACTCAGCGCCTCGAGACTCACAGGCTTCATCGCCCTCACTCTCCCTGACAAGCTTATCAGACACGGACGTGAGCATCATGCCCATTTTACAGATGAGGATGCCGAGGCTGGGAGAATTAAGTCACTCACTTTATCAGTTGTCCATTGCTGAATAACACACCACACTCACACCAAAAATCAGTGGCTGAAAACGATCACCATTGTATTTGCTTGGGATCCTGTGGGTAGACGATATGGGCTGGGTTAACTGTGAGGGGCGGCGGACGGATGAGGGGCTGGCTGATCCCACACGGCCTCTCTCTCGCACACTTCAATAGCTGGTTCTGGCTGCTGGCGGGGCCCTTCTCTCCATGTGGTCTCTTATCTTTAAGGATAAGGGGTGCCCTGGGCTCTTTCACACTGTGATACCACATCCCACGAAGGTGAGATTGGAAGCCTCAAAGGCCTCTTGAGGCCTGAAATCCAGTTACACTGGAGTTGGCCCTCCACATCCACAGATACAGAACGCTGACATCGGGAATTGAGCGTCCTCGCATTTTGGTATCTGAGGGGGGGTCCTGGAACCAATTCCCATGACGTGGAGGGATGACTATATATCACTTCCACTGCATTCACTGGCCAAAGCAAGCCCATGGACAGCCCAGATTCAAAGAGATAGAGAAATAGGCACCACCTCTCAATGAGAGGAGTGGCAAAGTCCCATTGCAAAGGAGATCACATTGCAAAGGAGATCTGTACAGACTGGGAGAAGTTGCTGCAGCATCTTCAGATGGTCCTTCCCGTGGGCCAAGATTCCACAGTGTTTGAGTGGCTCTACCTCGCCTCTCTCCTCTGACAGCAGCTGCAATAGGATTCCCTTCTCTCACCCCCAGAAACCCACCTTGAGCATGGGGCAGAGGGTAGGACAAAGAATTTGGAGTCAAGAAAACCTGGTTCCAAGCTTTGCTCTTATTAGCTGTGTGTCCTTCAGCCAGTTACTTAACCCCTCTGAGCTTCATTCAGTATTCTCACGTGGCACATGAGGATATGATAACGTTATAGGGTGTTGGTGAGGACTGCTAATCATGGAAGTGAAGAGCATGGCACCGAGTAGGACCTCAAGCAGTGGCAGGGATGATGGTGGTGGTGGCAGCAGTCACCCGCTGGCATGGGGAGAAAACAGCCACATTCCCATCACCAGCCTTTGATGACTCATGAGCCTCCCTGATTCAGCAACTTGCAGGGCGCTCCCTTCAAGGCACTGGGAGGGGACTCCTGAAGGTTCCTGGTCAGGCTCAGGCTGGGGAAGCAGAGGGTGGGGAATCAGAGGATGGGCTCAGCCTCAGCTCAGACATGCCAAGTCCTCCCCCATCCCTGGGAAACTCCGAGGAATGTTTTCCCATGTCTCAGGAGAGACCTGTGACACGAGCAGGGTGGGGACCCACCTCTTCTTTACAGAGCAAGATTTTGAGGCTGAGAAGAGCAGCCCTGAACCCTAGGCACACCCTGCACCGTACCCCACTTCGCTTCCTGCGGGTATCAAGCTGTGCCCCCATGCGTAAGCCAGTGAGCTTCCTTTGGGCCTCAGGTTCCTGTCTATCAAGTGGAAATAATAAGACCTGTGCAACTGCTCCCATTTACTGCACACATGTCCTGGGTGGTTTTTGTTTTTTTTTAATGTATTTTTCATTATTTTGTTTGATCTCATGGCATCCAACAAAAAGAAGGGTTACTCTTTTCATTTTCCAGAAGGAACAGAAGCCCCAGAAGACTAAGTGTCTTTTCCGAAACTACAGAGCTGGTAAGAAGCAAAGCCAGGTCCCTCTGATTATAGAGCCCTCATTTTATCCACAAGATGACACTACCTCAGGGTTACTGGAAAGAGAAAAATGGAAGGCTAGAAACACTAGAAACCTAACATTTCATTCCTGACCCAGAGTCACTTGTCCTAGTTTTCGAGCTGAGACCACCTTGGAGTCCCTGGTGAAAGTTCACACACTCTTGCAAGGTTTCCCTCTGCACATGAACCAGGCCTGAGAGACCTAGACTCTGGCTTTATGACCAGCCCAACAGCACTTTCACCATCTGGATAGTGGCCCAACTCTGGCCACCACTTTGCTGTGTGACTTTGGGCAAATCCCTTCCCCTCGGTGGGCCTTATTTCCTGACATGTGCACAATGGTTTGGATGGGGTCACATGGCTGAGTTTGGTTTCCTGTTCAGCAGTATCGCGTCCCAGGAAATTGCTGGCATGTGGAGGTGGAGAACAGGCCTCAAACCCTAATACTTGGGAATAAAAGAATGCAAATGAAAACCGGCCTCCGCTGCTTCCGGATACATACAGGGAGAGCATCTCGTTTGCGCGTCCTCCTCTACCATGTCCTGGCTCCATGCCCCACCCAGCATGAGGTGGCAACACAGGAAAACTGTGAGTGTCAGAATCAGAAACACCTGCACCATCTTGGGCAAATCTGACTTTTCTGAGCTCTCATTTCCTGGTCTGTGAAAGGGGCAAACCCTATCCACGGTGCAGGGCTGCTGTGAGGATTACCTGGAAAAGGGTTCCTGCAGTGATAGGCACATGGTGACCACTCATTAACCAGAAGCTCTTATGTTATTATCCTAATCTGTAAGCCCGCCTGTCTGCCGGGACCCCTCCCACCCTGGAGAGAAGCCTGATCAACTATGTAGCAGCATATAATCCGCGAGTTAACTCCAATGCACTCCTCGGCACGTTGTCCCCTGAGTGTGCTTCCTGGGAGAAGAGACTAAAAGCAGTCAATTCTTCGCAGCCCTCCCAGCCCCCGGCCGTCTTTCTGGAGGGATTTCTGGCATCCTCGAGGTGGATTTCCCTTCCTAGGGCCTCTTCAGACTTTCACGATTCCGGCTGTGCCTGAAGGCTGTCTGCTTTTATTCTCTCCCTCCACCTTCCCCAGACGCTGCTGGGCGCCAGGCCTTCTGCAAGGTGCGGAAAAGAGCGAGACCCTCTCATGCCTCGAGCCGCTCCAAGTTGACCTCGAGGTCGACAGCGAGGTGCAAGTCCAGGCTGAACCAGGAAGGAGACTGCACGGTGATTCCCAGGGAGCCTCCACGCGCCGGCAGGAAAACCACACTCGAGCACGTTCTCAGCGAGCAGTTTAAACCACTTGAATTCGGGTCTCACAAACCAAGAAACCAGTTCTAAGTGTTTTCACCTCTCCCACTGCTTCCTCCTAAATTTCATTAGGGCTGACAATTTGTATATCCACTTACAGTGTAATGTGATTTAAATGGCTGACCATAACTGTTAGTGATGGAGTTTTCCCGGGGCACAGGGCCCCTCCGCAGCTGGGCGGTAGTTTTAAAGGCCAGGATGCCTCTTGTTAGACGCAGTGTTCGTCCTA